TAACTCAGTGACATATAACTTGAATTAATATTATCTCCACTGGATTGATACAGGTATCAAAGGAAAAGACCTGTTTGGAAATAATCTGAATCTCATGAACATGACTACATGCCAGAGTCTCTAGTTCTAGTGCATAAAACTGTATCATACAAATATAATACAAGAATCAGAAACATCAGTGTAGAAATGGCCTCCCAATAATGATGTTAATAACCGTAAAATACCACTTTTGGATGAAAAAAAACTAATTCCAATAAAAAAATTAATTCCAATAAAAAAAAATTCCAATAATTTTCAAACATTCACAATCAAATCTCTTGGTGCAATCCTGATTGTGACAGAAAATGGAAGCTTAATCCAAGACTATTACTTAAGGTTTTTTTTATGTTATTATTATCATCACTTTTATGTAATATTGGTACACACCTTTAAAACCATCAGGCACAATGGGGTTTGAGTAACATACAACAAATTGAAGTTCTACTGGACATGGTTGTTAAGATTTGTAATAAACCTGACTTACAGGGCAAGACATACACAGATGACATTACTGTTTTATGACCCTTACTAAAAATTCACCTTCCTTCAAATAACATGAGCTATATTGTATTTTAAATTAAGTCTGAAATTGGAAGCTAAAAAAAAAAATTATCACACTCCCTTAAAAATCATGTAATGAAGACAGATGATCTAATGTAGATCTCTTGTGCTCATTTATATTCACTGAATATAACTATACGTACATATCTACAGGCCAGAATAAATATACAGTAGCACTATTGGTTGGAACCATAGTGAGCGAAAATAGTCAATCATTCCCTGCATGAACAGAAAGCTGCAGTCCTGTACATTTGTCAGAGCACATGCTTCGCTAGGAAGCAATCAGAAATATTTCAAATAGTTTGTTTCATATTCCTCAATTTGGCAGGGCAATGACACATTCCTGTCAGTTGGATTGGTTTGAGTTCTTTAATAAATACTTGGTTTGGGAATATACACAAAGTAGACTTAACTTGGCCCAACATACAATGGCAATCTGAGTATGTAATACTCAAGTTTGGTTGGATGGGTTTAATGAAATAAATGATGTGATGGGGTGTTATTTATTTACTTAGCGCTTGAGTATGACATCAAGTAAGATGGTGCCAAACCTGAGTAAGTAAGTCAAATCTTTTTTTGTGCACACAAGCCACAGCATTCAAGTACTCTGACCGGACCTCCATGATTAACCAAACTGGAAAGTAAAGCCACCGGGAAAGCTATTTGAGTGGTGGAAGGAGTTTGAATGATGTCCTCCAAATCCATGACCACCAAATGAATGAAATCCCTGATTTCCTCCAAAGAAAGCTTGAAATATCGTGTTGGGGTCAAAGTCTGTAAAAGAAAACATAAACATTTGCAAATCATACTACTGAAAATGTGCACAGACTTGCTGTTTACTGTGCCTTATTACTGCTAGCCAATCTACACAGTCAATGCATTTACTTGGGTTATTTTCAGTGAAGCATTTAAAGGAATGGATAATGTCCAAGATGCCAAAGTAGAGTGATAAAATGCACAAAAAGCAAATGGAAACTTTTTGGCAACTAAATCAAAAAAATCAAAATGTCCGATAGGTGAGCATTAACAATTCATTAGCATTGAATGTAAAAACATATTGATGAAGTGTGTATCCAATAATATTTCTATTGACCATCAACTTTAATTTGTGGATGCAGGGGCAGATTTAGGTATTCTGGAAGACGGTCAGATTTACACTGACGGGTAACTAATTTTTTCTGTCAGAGAACGGTCAAAAATGGGGGATGGATCAATAAAGATAATTTGGAAGCCTGTCAGAAAATATCTCTGGATCTGCCCCTGGGATGCCTTATGATCACGACACACACTGCTGCCACATTACCTGCAAAACCACCTTCCATGTCTTCTAAATCTTGACCGCTATCGTAACGAGCCTTTTTCTTAGAATCAGACAAAATACTGTAAGCTTCTCCTATCTCTTTGAAAATCTTCTCCTCTTCTTTCTGTTTGTCTGGGGTGTCATGGGAATGGCGGTCTGGAATTATTTCAGTGAGAAAGTTAGTCCATATGCATCCTTTTATTGGTACAAAAAATCCACCTGCATGCAAATTTATTGCAGTAAAGAGACATTTCAATCACACCACACCTAGTACATAAAATGTAGAAAACATTAACAACATCAAAGCATACTATACAATATATATATAAAAAAAACAGGTATTATTCATGGCCTGAACAGGAAAAAAAACTGACAATTGCCCATTTACAACATTTCTTTTTCCCATTTAAAACATTTCTTTTTACCTGGATGGTGAACCAGTGCCCTCTTTTTGTATGCTTTTTTTATTTCATCTTCAGAGGCATGTTTGCTGACCCCTAGCACCTTATAATAGTCTTTCCTTTTACTCTTCTTCAGTTCTAGTTTTGCCTCCTTAAGTAATCTTTTGTGCTCTGAAACGGGAATTGCACACAAACTCTTCATTTCAAGGAAGTAAATGTGCTATTTGCAACTTCTACTTTCTTCCAATATCAGGCTTCATTAATCAAGACAAAAATCATAATTTTCTTTTTATCTATCTTTCAAATTTGTCCACCAGCTTTAAAGAGGATTGAAATATTTGTGCACAGTCTCCTTTAACAAGCATGACAAATTTATTCTCAGTGAATCCTTACCATGAGTTTTTTCCATATTAAAAACCTTTTCATAGTCCCGTACAGCTTCTTCATATTGTTCTGTATCTGTATAACTAAAATATAATAGAAATGTCCAAACAGCTGCTGAAGTTGAGTTTAACATCTTTTCCCCATTTGCTTTTTCCAACTAAAACATTCCAAACTAGTAAAAAAACTAACAGGCCAGCTAGATTCAAAATAATACAATTTCCATTTTTACTTAAATCTTACACACTGACAACATACAATACTGCCAAGTCAGTCTCATCCTTTCAAATTTGAGCTTAACAAGAAAAGTTCTCACCATTTTGCTCTCCTCAAATATGCTTTTAAATATTTACTGTCTAGTTCAATAGCTTTCGAGCAGTCCTCTATGGCTTCCTCTAGTTTGGTTAGCTACCAACAAAACACAGATGATCAGTGATTTTAGAAAGTAACATGTAAGCTTTGCACTGAATGAGACGTAAAAAAGCAATCTGTCTCCTCTAGATACATCCTCATATATGTTAATCTGATTATGCACAACTCCCTTTTGAAAATTTTGAAATAGAAAGGTCACAATTAAGAAAAAAAGTCAACTTAAAAGAAAGATTCCATCTGTAGGACCTTTCCATCTGTAGGACTGACTTGAAATATTTTACAGTCACATTTAACGTGGGTTTTGTTTGAAGTTTCAGTAAAAATCTCGTACATGCTACTTATAATGGATGTCCACTCCCCTGACTTTTACTTGACATTCTTCATAAACTTCAAAACTTACTTTGGAACACACAGTTGCCCTGTTACAGTAGAGCTTGGAATTGACCGACTTATTATTTGTGTCAATTAGCAAAGCTTCTGAATAAAGTCTGTAAGCATCTTCCAAATTCCCACTTCTAAAAGCTTGGTTGCCTTCTTCCTTCTTTGCTTTAAGGCTTTTGGCTTTCTACAAATACAAAATTTGAAAAATTCAAAGAGTTAATGAAAATCAAAAATTTACTAAACAATATAACAGAACATATGCACTCAAGAATAAAAACTTTTGTGGACCCAGCCGGTATCTACACAAAAATCAAGCAGTTAAATTCTAAAGACCTCTCATTTTGATATTACAAATGCTAAATACTATAGAAATTTCATTCTAAATACTACCTTGTATATGTTCTTAGACTTGACGTGATCTGGAGCTAGCCTTAATACTTGTTGAAAATGTTGGTAGGCTTTATCCACCTGATCTTCATAGTAAAGGCACATTCCTCTTACAAAGATAGCATCTGCATTCAAACTGTCCGATCTAATAACATCACTGCAAGGAAGGATAAATTTTTTATTCTATGTAATCAAAAAAGACATCTATAATGGCTTTCTTCAAGTTTTTACCTCGTCTATATATACATGTTAACAACTTTCCCTAAATACCAATAAATTTAAGAAATCTATATGAAAGGTATCCTGTATGTTTTCAAAAATGTCTTGCAGTCACACTTTTATGTCTAAATATTCTGCAAAAATTCTTATCTTTTTCAAATCAGACCTTAAACAACAAAATCCCTCAAATCTGAAGCATTACTGATGTAGATTTACCCTTTAGAGCTTTAGAACCTTGGATAAGCATAAGGTTAGAGGTATTTAGGTAACAGAACAAATCACCAACCACTGCTTGGTCCATCCCTACACTTGGGATTGACATTTTACACCATTGCTAATGAAATAATTTAGTACTACATGTTTGAACAAACTTAAGGCATGTTTTCCTATACATTTCAGAAGGAAATATTTACATCAGTTACTTTTAATTGAAGGGTTTTATCATTTTGAAGTCCAATTGGGAAAGATAAGTAACTTGGCAGGATATGGAGACATTGAAAATGTGACTTTGGGACATTTTCAAACGAAGACAGTTTAGCTTTAAACACCAGTCACTTACTTTGCAGTTTCTTGAGACTCTTGGTATCGCCCCAGGTGTGCCAATGCCTCGGCTTTCATTACTTTAAACCTAGGACATGCTGGAGAATGATCTATACACCTATCCATACAGTACAGAGCCTGAAATAATAATAATAAAAAAAAACACAACTTCAGCAAAGATTGTTCCAACTGAGATGCAGCACATATATAATGATAATTCTTTTCAACAGAAATCCAGTTTTCTTTTATGCATGATATTGTTACTTTGAAATGAACAATGAAGAAATATTCTTACCCTTCTAAAATCTCCCTTTTCAAAGTCTTTCTCCGCAGCTTCCACAAACTGCAACACTGCCTTGGCATTATTCATCTAAATACGAGAACATAAAAAAAAACTTACAGACGATTAGAATCAGCTCAGTGTCAGAGTAAAATCTAAGGGTTATTTACCAAAACACATTTTAAGAACCTGCTGCAAATGAGCCACCTTAATCAATATTTAAGTATAGCAGATAACAGTTTTGAAGAGGCATACCTCAGACTTCACAGCATTGTTGTTGGGCTCCAATAATAAAACTTTCTCATAACTGTTTAAGGCAGCCATGGCATTTCCCATTGCCAGATGACATTTTCCTTCCCGTAGATAACCCTGATAAGTGAGAAAAAAGATTTCCTTTATAAACACCATAAACTTTTAAATCACATACATGAAAGTCAGAACTTCTTCCATCACACACACACACACACACACACACACACACACACACACACACACACACACACACACACACACACACACACACACACACACGTACCAGGGATAGAAACAAACTCTTCCCTGTTACCCAGAGCTAAGTTTCATATATATCAAAACTTTTTTTATGATTTGGCTGAAAACAAGGGTTAGTACTTTTCTATTTTGCAAGTTGGTTGAAAATGATTTTTGAAATAAAATATTTTTTGCCACCACAAATTGGTGGACTTGGTGGTTACTTGTGTTTTTCTAAATATCACTCTGTTGACAAGATAACTTGAAACAAAGGTTGATTCAATGAAATTAAGATGAAGTTTAGAATTATTAACTTCTAAGCATACATATATTTTTGTGTTAACATTGATTGGCTTGCATACTAACATCACTCATCTGCATAAACCAACAGGCATCATCCATGCCCAATTTGCTCATAGTAATTATTACAAAAGATATAACTAATTATCTCAAATTATGGTGCTCGCACCTCATTTCTATTTTCTTTTTTCTATCTTTTGGTCTCAGGTATGTTGGATTATGACCAAAATGGGGGAAGAATTTTGAATTTCTATCCCTAATCATAAATAACCTTATGTTATCATCAGCAATCCTTATAGTGCACATAAGCTATATGAACAATGAAAAGTTTTTAAACATTACTGGCTCATCAGACAATATCAATACATTTAGATTTCCAGTCTTGAACACACTGTGAAATGAACTTGCTTTCCTACAGGAAAGCAGTGGGAAGTGCATTTCCAGATACCCACCATGTGTTCAAACTTGGGCTTGGGCTGGGGAGAATAATTCCTCACATTTCATGATCTGAAAGCTAAGTCAGCAAATGCAACTTAGACTTGCATGACTGGAAGGATATTGACTGTCTTCTTCACTTGGCACTTACTTTAAATCTTAATTGTGATAATACGTTTCGCTTCTATCTGATCCTCTTCATCTTTTTTTCCTTGTCTAAAATATTGCTTTAACAGTGCTAACTATCCAGTGCTTTAGTTGTAGAAGTAGGTGTACTAACTGTGTGAAAATGTTGTGTCTAAAAAATTCTATTGTCCAAGAAAAAAAGAAAACATCACACCAAAGGTTAAACCATATGCTAACTTACCAACAACTAAAATACAACATACTATACTTATATAAAACAATTTCATGATGGAAATTCCATGCTATAAGCCTATAACTATCCTGGGCTCAAATGAGCTTGGCACAGCATTACGATCATAGTTCTAGTATTTTAACTGATAAAACACAAAACATATCTAATACCTTGTCAGTCTAACAGTACTTTAATCTATTGTCCTTAATACAAATAATGTCAGCTGAAACCCTACTTCCCATCTTTGGCTCCATAATTTGCCAAACTTACCTTTACAAAATTACTGTCCAAAGCTATTGCTCTTCGTGAATCATCGAGTGCCTCCTGATATTTGTTCAGCATTATATAAGTAGCAGAACGGTTTCCATAGAATGCAGCACATGTGGGACAAATATCTGTCACAAAGAAAACCCCATTAGAAATTCTACCACATTCATTAGATTTCTTTTCATTAACATTAAAACCAGAATTTAAAAAAATAGAATACATACTAGAACTTTACTTTTTCTCGTCTTTAAATAATATGTAATGCTACCTATATTGATTCTAATAACTTGATTCTGATCTATTACAACTTGAATATCATTTGATCCAATTCCTTGAGCTAATCTTTTAATGACTATAATAGCTCATTTGCAATGAAACTATAGGTCTACAAAGATTGATCCAGCTTTGTGAGGACTCTCACTGAATGCAATTAGATATATAGATTAACATGCTTCCTCTTGTTTAAACATACTCCTATAATCACCAGCTTTTCTGGATTTTACTCAGTGGCAGGGATGTTTATCTCTGATTGCATTCAGCGAGAGTCCCAAAGAAATTGGATCAATCTACACGCACAGATAGTTACATTGGGAATGAGCACTTAAACTCAACATGATAATCAACTTACCTATGGCCGCTGTATACATTTCCAAAGCATCTTTGTATTTTTTCTGTGTATAAAACCGATTCCCTTCAATCTTTTTCTCCTCTGCTAAATGAATTTTCCTAAAGAAAATATATCAGCTGTAAAAAAAGCACCTTAAATTGGTTCAATCATGAATGTCTTTAAATTTCAAAATGGTCTGTTGCTTTATCACCTTCCAGTTAGTTTTCATAGACATTTATTTTGCTTTGCTTATTAACCAATAAATAAATCATACTCAAAATCTTTGTCCTGGACAAATGAATCCGCCAGATATCATGCACAAAACTGATATATTGTAGAATTAATGAATTTGACACTTAACTAGAATTTCCAAGGTTCAACCACTAAAAAATGTCAAATAGTTAAGACTTCTTAAATGTGTAATTTCAAAAGTTGGGGGAGACCCCAATCTAGTGTGTTCCAATAATTCTGAATAATCAAAATGAAAATCGTCATGCCTTTAATTGTTCTGGACATATACCTAAACACCACTGAAACATATTTTAAGATTATATGATGAAGGTCCCAACGACACTTAGCTCGTGTAAAATGAAACTTTCCAAAAACAGACTAAAAACTTATTTTTTATGAACAAACTTGTGACATTTCGTAAATCTATAGTCAATTATCATGATACTAAACTGTTCGGGTGTTAGTTCGGCGATTATTTCAATATCTTCGTCCATTTCACAATCTTCGTGTTCAGAACCTTCCAGACTTCCATCACACACTATTATATCCGTCTCCATCATTTCTTTAGTAACATATCGTGAGATTTCACGAGATTGCCCTATATACCGTTGCGTTTGCTGGGATTTTCATTTACAACCAAAAATATATTATATATCAGTATTAGGCAATATCTTGGATCTACTGATTATGCCATTAGTGAAACGCCAATGGAATAAAATGAGGGAAGCAGAAGAACAATTTAAATTCGATGATTTATTCTTACATAACTAATTATAATTCTCTTCTGTCTATAGCACAGCTACCACACTGGAAGTTGTGCTACCCATCACCCACGTAGAGTTCAGAGAACTAGTAATGGTAGTAGTACTAGTACTAAGAATTGTCCCGCTTTTGGTCACGGTGACCTAAAAGTATGCGCTAATATATTCAGGATAGATCTATCTCGTCTAGCATGAGTTCAGTGTGTACAGCACTGGGATTGGACATTTACGCCCTGAGAGATGTTTTCTCCTACAGAAGTTTAGTTCATGCAATAGCAGGGGCTGCAGTAAGTGGTTGTCAATATTGAGCGACAATTTATGTGAAGTTACTCAAAGTTTCTTCCTGCGACAAGCACGTGCTCTTGGGGGGGGGGGGGGGGATATTCTTTACTCTTCACTACACTTGGCATTAAAGACATGTTGTACACGTCGATTTAATTTTAATGTCTGAATACCTTGCAAGACTGCTTCTCTTTACCAATTAAGACCTTTAAAATTGTTAAACCCCTCGCGTTAATGCACCTGAAATGTCAATAAGATCTGGTTCTAGTCATTCAGAATTAAATGATTTAATTAAAAAGGTACAAAGCATCAGTATGGATCAAACAATAATTTGTAAGAGAAAATACTTTGTATAATTTTTAAGAGTTAGATGCCATGAAAAAAAAAAAAGTAAATGATCATCTCCTTGCAAATTGCCATCCGTCAGCAATCTTGACCACAGTTTAAAATCTGGGTGGATGCTCAGAGTGATGGCAGAATAAAAAAGACGCCCCCAAACTCAAGTATTGGTTAAACACTTTTTGATTTTCCTGTATTGTTACATAGTTATGGAAAGTGTAAGAAAAGGGGATTAAAGGTTGATTATGTAGGGAAAATGCCTAAATGCCTTGTGGCCCAGCTGTGTGATGAAGTCAACTATTTTATATTTACATTAAATGATTTTGTTCTAGGGAAGCATCACTGCCCTTACTGTGTTCTTTCCACTTGATACAGCACGAACAAGACTTGTAGGTTAGAAAGTTACACATTTTAAGGCACTTGTAGAAGATCAATTCCAATGTATAGAACTCTTTTTTGGGCTGCTGTAAATGTAGCACTGATATGAACAAAGCAAATATTTCACAGTACAAGATTGAACACATTTTAATTTACTAGTTTTTCACAATTATGTATAGTACAGGCTGTATGTAGTTAATAGAAACATCTGTTATATAATTATTTGAATATTTGTGAAGTTGTTTATATCATAATCCATTGTTATTTAGTGATTTCTGTTTTTCAGTTGATGACTTGCGAGAAGCCAAGCCAACCCCAGTGATACTCCATGAAATATTCAAGGAAGAAGGGATGTGAGTATAATAAGAATAACCATGGGGACACTAAATACATAATTTTATGTGCAAACAGTCAACTTCAAATATATATGATATTTTAGATATTACCCTTAACTCTTCTAAAAAATGATGGTGATTGTCCATTAAACTCCCTTAAAGGTGCTGATAAATACTTCTTACAAACAATTATCTTTATTTAACTTTTTAGTGATGGACTATACAGAGGGCTATTTCCAGTTATCACTTCCTTATGTTGCTCAAATTTTGTGTATTTTTACACTTATAATGGGTTGAAAAATGTCTGTGTACCCCATAGAGACAAGGAGGATGCATTGCAAGATTTGCTTATGGGTTTTGTGGCAGGTATGTACGCATTATACCAAAAAGATTTGTACATTTACCTGATATTTGTTAACTTTGTGAATACAGATCCAGCACAGAATATTTTGAAGTATCAGACATACGTTATTTTTCAATCAGAAGACGCAAAGACACTACTAGTACCTGTTAAAGGCAAATGTACTATTCAAATAGTTGTAGTGGCCAGTTGTAGATTAGAATTAATAAAACATGATAGTCATAGACAATACACAAAATGTCTAAGGTACATTTTAATTATTAAATTATTAAAATAATTTAAAAAATTTTTCAGGTATTGTAAATGTTCTGCTTACAACTCCTCTATGGGTGATTAACTCTAGACTGAAAATCCAAGGCGCCAATTTGAGGACCAAACAGTATAAGGAGCAGAAGTTCCCAAAGTATCGAGGGATATTAGGTAAGCATACTGCTGTTTGTACCAGTTGCAAGGTTGGACAGGATGTGCAGCACTACTTGTCAGTCTTTGACAGACAGGGATGTTTTTTTAAACCCAATATAAATTGAATAGCACTTAGATGGAAGTATATGAAACAAACAGGTTTAATATCGACCATAGAATTGCTACTTTGTGTGAACTCTGTATGTCTATGCATAATACAGTTAAGTGCAGAGAAAAGGGTGGATACAAGTTCGAAAGTCAAATTTATTTATGATTGAATCGATTTCCAGATGCTTTTTTGAAGATAGTCCGATATGAAGGTGTTTCGTCTCTTTGGAGTGGCATGCTGCCATCTTTGGTGCTAACTGTTAACCCTGCAGTGCAGTTCATGGTCTATGAGGTCATTAAGAGATACTTTCAGAGACTTTGGAAGGTTCAGGTATGCATTTTAAAAGGATCGGACCTCATATTCCCATGTATAAGATCAATTTCTAGTCTAATTGTCTTATAATACTTCAGGTATTATGAACTTAATACAAATATTTTCATATTTTACATTACAATTAAGTATGTTCTCGCATCATTTGAATTTTTCTGCAGGAGCTCTCAGGCTTAACATACTTCTTCATTGGTGCTATTGCTAAAGCTGTAGCCACAACTGTGAGCTATCCTGTCCAAGTAATACAGGCAAGATCAAGGGTAAGTGATTGCATAATACTTACACCATCTCTGAAATTTGAAAATGAATTAACCATTATAATGCCAATAATTTTTATTTGTGATTGTAAATAGCTGTGCGTTCTTCTCTGTAAATGTGGAAATTCTTTTACATCTTAAATGGAGTCTGCTCTATTCCAATATTTTCAAAATTTGCAAAGAGCACGTAACTATTTCCCTCCTCTGCTTTTATTTCAGGTTGGTTTCAGTAAAAATGCTAAGAACCCTAAAGGAGTCATTGAAACTTGGCAAGAAGTAATAAGGTAGGCATTCCCAAAAATGCCTTGTTATTCTTATGGTCAAACCAGGGGATTCTTTGTATTAAATTATATAAGAAAGCAATAACAGTGATTCTATAATATTCAAGTGTAACGAAAGTGATACAGATTGGTACCTCTTCCATTTCCAGGAACAATGGGGTGAAAGGTCTGTTTAAGGGTTTGGAAGCCAAGCTTCTCCAGACTGTGCTTACAGCAGCCCTGATGTTTATGCTCTATGAGAAGATAGCTGCCTTTATATTCCACATTTTCTTTTTGGAAGTGTCAGGAAAATCTGTCTAGGAAATCTGTATAGATGAAAATTACTTCAACCATGTTGGAAGATTGCTTTAAAAATTTTAAAGGGGTAGCATGGAATTTTGACTTAGGGATTTTAACAGAGATTGGCAGAGGTACTTAAAAGTTAACACTTTATCATGGTGCTTGGTTTTGCAATTTTTGAGGATTTCAGTTACATATACATCTCAGAGATCAAATGTATGATTCACTTGAAATCACAAATTTTTAGCTTGCTTACTGCTTTTACAAAAAGATAGACAAGGACCAGACACTTGAATGTGAAAATAATGAATAATCAGATACAGTGAATGGATCAAAATTGTTGAAGTTGGAATTCTGAAGTTGATTGGTCTAACAAACAGGGATGAGACCAGTCTTTACTGAAAAAGTGGGAAAATTGGCTGAGCGTCCAGGGTACACAATTCACAAGAATGACCCAAATGACCCTGAAAAAGTCGGACTTCTGACAAAAGTCAGAAAAGTCTCACCAGTGAACAAATTGTATTTATATGCAACATTTTACTTTATAGGATAGTCATTTCTGTAGAAGTTTAGCCCTCTGTGAAACAGAATTGAATGCTAACTTTTTTCAGTTCTCTCTATATTAACATCAGTTTAATTGAAATATAGAGCATCAGCTTTATTTTCCCTATACACTATAATTTTCATACAATATAATTTTACAATTAACAAAAATACAATGTCAACATTCCTTTTGCTCAATAAACTTAGAAAATAGTACTTAAAAGTCTTGCTACTTGTATTCATCTATCTGATTAGAGCTGAGCTGAGCAAAACGTATCTGATACTTTGCTGGATCTACTACATTAGCTTGAATGCATCTTTTAAATGTAAAAAAAAGGAAGGGTCCCTATTTCTAAATAAACTATCACCAATCGTCCACCTGGTCAGGCATATTTTTTATAAGTCCCTGGACCCTTCCTAGAACAATTTCATTAGTGCTCCTGCAACTCTCTGCTGTATAGGGAGGTTCTATTACGAGAGCATCAGAGACACTCAAACATTCATTGTCTGTGGTTTGGACTGGGATTCTATGTTTCATCAACCAACATCTTAACTTTTCTTGTCTTTGTTTCATCTCCTCTGGAGTCAGCTGTGTTACCACTTGCAACTTGAACATACGGTCTAACTCAGCTTTGTGGGTCTCTTTGTTACTGTTCAGTATAACAATATCTTTAACAGCATGACCCATGAGAAGTTCCAGTTTCTCTTCACCATTGATGAAGTTTACCAAGATGATATTCTCAGTGACTGGATCAATGGTGTACACCCAGCCAATGTGCTGAGATTCATCTTCTAATGTTACACAAACTTCCTTATTTACGAAGTTAACAAATTCTGCTGGATCTCTGGAAAATATAGGATGGAATTCCTCCTCTGATGTGCCATTGGACATCTTGAGCTTAATTCTTCGCTGAACAATTCAAAGTGAAAAATACAAGAGTATTTGCTATTTTGGGATATCAAAGTTACACAGATTTTTGTATTTCTGAAGTAATTCCGTCTTTTGAATCAATTGTTTTCTCAGAATGTCTAGCTGTTTTAGTTGATCCTCCTTGCTATACTCTATCCCTGGGAGCTTTTCAGTCTGGTCCTTTGCTTTCTGCAGCTTCACTTTGAATTCATTCACTTTGGTGCCAACATCATGGGAGTCTTTGTCAATGCTGGAAAAGAAAGTGTGGGTATGGTAAATAAATTGATACTCAAGTCAATATAAACCATTAGAGTAAATAGCAAACCAGTAAACAAGTATTCTTATTTCAAATTCTGACCTGCTAAACATCCTTGCCTTGCTTTATTTGCAATGTACATCCTTTCGTCTTTACTTAAAATCAATCTAAATTAGAATCCAAAGTCAACAGAAACTGCAACTTTGATAAATTACATCGACTTCAATCACGTACAATTTATGAACCAAACAGTACCTTTTAATAATGTCATAAATAATGGGAAGAAAGTTCACATCTTCACTCAAGCTGGCCATGCTCTTCATTTAACAAAGGAATGAAAACTTGATATGGAAACGAGGTTTGGGGCGGAAATATATGAGTGTAGATGTCTTTACCCATATTTTGCTTCAAATACTCAACCGTGAGTATGCATTCAAGATCCATTGTTCATATGTTGGACAACAAAATACAACCATAGCAATTTAACAACTGAAAATCCCTGGATACTCTTGGCGATTAGTTGTGAATGTGATCATGTGACTTGGACAAGATGGCGACCTACGAATGGTAGGAAATGTTACGGGTTGATTTCATGTTGGTTTTTACAAGTTACATGTCATGTCATGTTAAATACATTGTTACAAGTTACATGTCATGTCATGTTAAATACATTGTCTTTATGCTGAATTTAAAGTATCTCTGCTGTTAAAGTTTAAAAACTTTTGCAAAATAGTTACTATTGTTGAAGGCTTGGTTAGTACTTTAACAGGTTAAAATGTTTTAATTAACAAGGCAAGCACAGTATGTAGTATGCTACGCTATCTAACTGTTTATTTGGAATTGCTCTGAATTTGAATTTCTCTACAATGGCATTTATACGTGGACTGGTCTTAATTGTCAATGCCATTTATAGGACCCCCAGAATAAAGCATGCTGCAATTGAAAAGGAAGCCAAAACATTGCCCAAAGAAGAGGTAACAAGCCACCCACTCAAGGGTATTGTAGTAAGTAACACATATTCTTTTTACCTTAAGGGAATGGGAGATACTTAGATTAGAATACTTAGATTAAGCTTCAGATCTTGAGTAACAATGTATAATTTGATTTGATGTATGAATGCCAATACAGTATGTACTGTTACGCCTTCGCGGCCGAGTGCCTTATGAAGGTACAAATAACAATGTACTTACTGCTATCTCAAAATATAAGCACAGAGAAAAGCCTCAGAGAGCAGCAAAAGAGGACCAAGAGAGCCGCAAAGAGATAAGCCCCAAAAGAGACCGATATATTTCAAGTCACACCTTATATACAAGTTCAGATAGTACACGTTTACCTATCAGAACCAATTATACAGTGAACAGTTTTACCTTTAAGTTACCAATCACGTCAGAGATTCAAACTTGCACACCGGGTAACACTTTACTTATAGAGACATCTACCGGTAGCAATATAAAACAATCTCAACTGACGCACTACATCGTCACAGTACACAATACTAGTAAGGTTAATTGCATCAGAAGCAATTTAACTTTCATGTAGCACATGTATGGGTGAAAATTTTACCAGGCAGGATATTTTGTTGGCACGATGTTTTCAACTTGACCTGTACAGTACAGTACGCACCCCACCCCCTGCCCTATTCCTCTAGGAATGGTAGGTTTAGTCCATGCAGACCCTAACCTGTCCAGTTGAAGCTGGCCTCCTAATGTTGTACATAGAATTTTTCTTTGATTTACCTGTGGTAGTCTCTATGCTCCTAGGTTTTTACCCCTGATTCAGGGTTGTACAGTTTCACCTGTGATCATGTCAGAGAGATATTGCCAACAGTGTCAGATCTGATAAGTTTACACCTTTGTAATACACCAGTTAAAAGTTTACTATTGAGACAACCTACACTGTATACATTGTTCTTGAGTAGATTTTATTGAAATGTACTTATTAGGTTTCTTGAAATAAGTCAAAAGAGTTGGATCATTGAAGGTTTCTCGGCAGAAAATGATCTGAAAAAACTATAGAAACATGCAGTCCAGTAACACATCACTTTTTGTTAACGTCTATCTGTATTAAGAATCTTACGTAAAAATTTGGTCTGTGCTTTAAATAAAACTACTAAGGATTAACCATCATGCTGTTTTTGTCTATACATGAATATCTGTAAATTTATTTAAATTATCACTCTCAGGTAACAGAGGTGAAGAAGACTGGCAAGTCACAAGTCCAAGATGGACGTCCTAGAACAAGTAGTCACCCTTTGGACCCACTCACTTCTGCCATGGATGGAGCAGATCCTCTCTCCATGTTTGCTTCTCAGGCAGACCCTCTGTCTAGGATGTCAACTCAGACAACTACCAAAGAAAAGGTTTAACTTTGTTTTCTTTTTTTACAGCACAAAGGCTGAGTTTTGCATGTGTTTCACACATTCATTAGTTGGATTGTTCTTTTTATGAATTTGAAAACGTGGCAATTTTTTTATTGAATAGGATGTCATTAAACCAAAACTGTAAATTTACTATTACTTTTAGTAATATACTGTATGTTGATTTATTCTTTTTGATGGAATATCTTTCCACTATCCTTAAACAGTCTATGCCTAAAGATGAAAATAATGGATTAGATGAAACATTTGAACCTTGGTCAGTGAAAAAGCTGAGTATTCTGACCAAACACACTACCTCAGAGAAGTTGACCATTACAACAAGTTTCCTGTCAGCCCATGAGAAAGACAGAGGTGAGTGTTATGAGGCACACTAATTATTAAATAGTTCTAAATTGTGAAAAGAAAATGTTTCTTTTGTGGCCTAAAATGAATTCAAAATTTTCCTGAATCAGCAGCTAAAAGGGAAATTAGTAAATTTTTGAGTTCTCAAGCATCAGCTGTTAAATAAAGTTATTACCTCATATTGATTGAAACTAAGTTTCTCATTCCATTTCTTTTTGCAACATTTTTTCATATTCTCACTGTTTTTAGTTGTCATCAAGGCACAGAGCACAGTGACAGATAAGGTGAAAAATAGACTTGAGCAACTGGATGACTTTGAAGAGGTAATTATGTTCTTGCAAAAACTAATGTATCAAATGTAGCATAGGCAATGTTTTATTATAAGTTGTTAATGTTATTGCATTGTTCATGGATTACATGATAAATCGTTAAACTTTTGTTCATTATATTTTGCAAATTTTTGAAATTAAAAAAGGTGCACATTGGTTTATTTTACATAGCCTGTGCTTTTTATGGTAATGTGACATTCTGACCTATATTTCATGGTAAGGGCTCAGTGCAGGAAATGCTTGACTTGAGCCAGCAGGAGTATGTAAACAGAATAGATGAATTAAACCAAGCATTGATAGATGCATGGGACCAGGACCAGAGAGTAAAGGCACTCAAGATTGCTATACAGGTAGATTTTGTTTTACAGACAATTCATACAAGCATTGACTGCTCAGTCTTTGGATGTGAATTGATGGAAGTTTTAAAAAATTATGCTACATTTAGGTGATTGTCTTATTGAATTAGCCTGTTCACTTGATATTGCCTTTTGCCTGATATTATCCTGTAATCTGTGATTGTACCAGTATGTGATTGGTAAACTAATACTATATTTTTTCAAGTGCTCCAAGTTGCTGTCAGACACCAATGTGATCCAGTTTTATCCCAGCAAGTTTGTTCTGATCACAGACATCCTAGATACATTTGGCAAGCTGGTATTTGAACGTATTCGCAGCAAGAGTAATTACATTCCAGTTGGCAGCTCAATGCCTATACAACTACCAGGTAACACAGCAGTTGTGATCAGCATGGAGAATTGCTCTGTCTTTTTGGCTATCCTATTAAAATGTCATTTAGTAGAGAATATTTGTTGTTAAAAAAACTTGTATTTTGTAAAAAGAAAAGTATATAGAATTAAAAAAAAGGAGAGTAGTAAATTAAATGTTACATTTAAAGCTTTAGTCTTTACACTGGATGATGATGGTCATTTATCCATATTTTGTATTTTTGATTATTTTTCTTTTCAGAGAATTTTACACCAGAACAAGTTCCTGACTCTGCCAAAGAAACTTGTAGAAATTGGTTTTTCAAGATTGCATCTATTAGGGAACTCATCCCAAGGTTTTATGTAGAAACTGCCATCTTGAAATGTTACAGCTTTCTAGACACCAGGTCAGTTTTACACCAGTGTTAATGTGGTGCAGTATGTGGTTAATACAAAATGTTTGAAAATTTAGAAAGATGAAAAAAAATCTTGAGATGAAGTTTCTTGAAGGATCTTTATGTAAAAGTTCTAACAGATGGAAGAAGCTCAAAAAGAAAGATTTGCCATAAATTTTATTCAAAAATATGTCGTATTAAATTTTATTCAAAAATGTGTTGTATCATATTGGTTTATTATCAATATGTCATAATCATATATTTCCTGCATTTAACTTCCAGTGAGTATTCGGCTGCCCTGTGTCGTCTGGCAGACATGACCCGTGGCATGGGAGACCCACTAGTGGGAATCTACGCAAGGTGTTATCTTAGCAGGGTAGGTAGGAAATACATTATCAGTAGAAATTGGCAAAATGTAATTATATTAATAACCTTATTAGATTACATTTTTTCCATCTTCTGAATCACTTATACATTTTGCCAAAACAGACCTTATTCAAAGCCTAAGGTTGTATGTATGTATGTATATATGTAAATGCTTAAGTTCTTTTTTGTCCATATGTAATAATTCAGTAAAATTGTCAACATTTTACTTTCTGATGTGCCCAATACAATTATCTTACATAGTATCTCTTTTAGGCTGAAAATGAAAATACTAATTTAAACAGACTAATAAGCATGAATATTGATTTGAATTAAAGATTGAGCAGTTTAAGAGTATAAACACTTATTTTCTTTAATACATTTGGAAAATTCTTTTCAAATTATCACTTTTCTATTACGTAAGTATGTTTTATTAAAAAGAAACAATACTGTTTACTATATCAGGTTGGCATAGCTGTTGCACCCAACATCCGTGATCATCTGATGCCCTGCTTCAATGATTTCCTGGCATGTTACTCACAGGTATGTGCTTACCATCAAGGTGCTTTTCAGCATCATATTTATAAGAATACCATGATGTCATTGCTGTGCTGAGTCAAAACTGTGTAACCTGTTACATCGTATCAGTATGAAGCTGTTTCACTCTGTAAATTTCCTTTTAGTGAAATTGATGTTTTAATGTTACAGTAATAGTTTAGGGTTTTTTATCTTAAGTAATAGGGTTTTGTATCTTAAATGGCAATAATGGCTACAGTTTTTGTTACAGAAAAAGTAATAGCTGGGCCCCATATCTCGAAAGCATCGCACTTTGCGACCGTGCGCAAGGGTCTCGATTCCATAACTCGCCCCATATATACATTGTAGCCTCTATGTGATATCGCTATTCCCAATACGCGATGTTTTCGAGATACGGGACCCTGATTTACCTTTAATTGGACTTTTTAAGCCTTACAGTAAAATCAGTGTATAATATTTATCTTTTTCAGCTCCAAAGTGACCATGTCCAGAACACCTTGGCTATGCAGAAGGTAGAGATGCCACGGTACCTGACCCTGTATTGTCCTGCCTTGGACTGGATCCTGCAGTGCATTGCTCACAGGGCCTCAGAGAACACACTGCAGACTATACTGGAAAAGTGCAAGAAACTGTTTAACAGGTTGATTTTGTTTCTAATGCATGCATGTTTCATTCAGTTAACTTGTTCATTATTCTCCTATTTGAAATTACACAGTCAAAATGAAACAGATGCAACGTAGTTATATAGACTGTTTGATTCTTCACAAAATAATGTTAGCGTAAAAAATATATATTTTTTAATGTGGGTCAATTGTCAGTGCACTCGTATGCCTGTATAACTACACATCATATTATTTAAAGGTTGTGTACTATATTATTTTCAGTGCTTTGCTGTTGAATTCCATCATGTCTGCCTTCAAACCTGAGTACATAGCCTTCAGAGCCGTGCAGTTTACAGAGCAGATCAGAGAGTGTGAGGAGACTGGATTCCCTAAGGTAGAAGATCGTTGGTGGGAAGAAGAAATGGTCCAAATCAAATGTGTTAAGGCTGTGTAATCAATCTTATTTTTGAGTTTTGATCCAGACCAACATTACAGATTTAGGAGAAAAATCTGCTTAGATTTAAAACTGGACTGAAAAGGAAGGAATTGTACAAAGTACCCTACAGTGGTTGATCTTATATGTTATGTATAAACTTCCGTGCTACACAGACTGACTTTTATTGTCACGGTTTTCTGTTTCAGCACATGTTATACTGTAGCCTGGGTGGATGTTTAGTGCTAGCAAGCCCCCCTGAAGACCAAAGGCTTGCTGTGTTGAATGAAGTGTGGAAAGTTGTTATGAAACTTAAAAATCCGTTGGTAAGTTGAATTACAAGAAAAGCAGAACTGATATGTTTGTTTTTTGTACCAAATAAATCTGATGCAGTCCTTTTTTAATTACAGAAAAATACAAACCTTTTATTTAGCAAGTTTCCATAACTGAGCTTTTTTTAAAGAAATGTACAATAACATCTTATATAATGTTGCTACTTAGTCTTCTTCTGCATTGTTTCTTTATGGATGTTTTTTATTAGAGCATCATTGAGTCTTGTCTGTTTAAGTCATCACATTCAATTTCAAATTGGTCAAACATAAATTATCACCAATCCCTTGAATTACAGGATTACATCACCTGTGCAGAAGTGTGGATAGAATATGTTGCCAAACATTTCTCAGTAAGTCAAGGGGAAGTCGAGTTAATGTAGTCAGTGATAGAATTTGCTAGTTGAAATTGTATAAAAATCTCTTTGAGATTGTTATTTATTNTCTCTTGAGATTGTTATTTATTTGTCCCAAACTTGATACAGTATATTTTATCACAAAGGGGATCTCTACCTCTATTAGTTCTGATATTTTATGAAGTTGTTGTTGTACTTCTTTTGTTTTTAGAAAAGGGAAGTCAACACCATCCTGAATGATGTCATCAAGCACATGACCCCTGACCGAGCATTTGAGGATTACTACCCCCAGCTGCAGTCCATAGTTACCAAAGTCCTCAGCCACATACATGACTTCACATTACTCTTCTCACTGGTTAGGAAATTTCTGTTTATTTGTCCCTTCTTTTATCTGTTTATTCATTCATTTCTTCCTTCACTTGTTTCTTTTAACATTTTATTTATTGATTTATTTATTTGTATATTTGTTTGTTTGTTTACTTATCTTTGCTAGAATACTCAAGTTGTAAACTTTAAATATCAATAATAATTCTTTTTCTCTGAAATAAATTCATTATAGCAAGCTTTATTGAAAGACAATGTTGATCATTTTGGTATAGCTTTTCTTGTATCATGTGGTGGCCTTGAAAAAGGCCTTTTGAGGTTGAAGTCAAACAGATTATTGTGTCTCCGGAAAACAAATGCCATACTGAGATCTTTGGAGTGCCTCAGCTTCTTCAGACATTTGAAGTGCATACTCATAGATCATCTGTTTCACACCAAAGAGAGTGGTGATTTTAAGACGAAGGCTGTAATGAGATGCATGTCTACTGGTTGTTGTAGCTCTGTAGTAACGTTGCTGCAGACCCCTGATGTGGTTGTCCAGGAGTTCCATTTGATGCAAAGCCTTTGTAAATTTAGCATGCATCGTAGTCAGTTGATCTTCAACGTAGTCAGGATCTAGCTCTTCATGTTTTTCTTCAATCCAGCTGTCATCAGAGAAGCCTTCAAATACAGATGTGTCGTCTGATTCAAAACTCTCCATCAGCCACTGGTCATTGTCATTCTGCTGAAGAATAACCTGGTTTTCCATCTTGGCAAACAGGAGAGAATATGGAGAACTGTTGTCTAAGAGAGAACTGAACTCAAGTGATGAAAATTTAGTCAGATTTTGTAGCTTTTATAGGCACAGTATTTCTCTATGTATTATAGTGGTACATATTTTATGGCTTCATACCAGGTTTCCTCCAAAAGCAGAACAGTGAATGTAGCATACCAGTAAAACACTTCAAAGAAATTTTAATCAGTATCCACAGATGATCAAAAGGTTAAAGAGGTTATAGGTTAACAGGTTTAACAGGTTAACAGATCTTAACTGGGCTTACACCCAATCATCTGAACAGAGTTAATATATAGACATTACCTGTAAATAGATCAATTTGATAACTGCAGTGAGCTTGACTGAAATATTTAACTAAGTAAATTGTTTAATTTTGATACTAGCACCTTTGAACAGTAGCTTTATGATTTACATGGACAAATGTGTTTTTTTAAAGAAAGAGCAAACATTTTTATAAAAGTTTTATGTTAATGATTTAAAATCTTTTTTTTATATAAAACAAAATATGTTTAGATAAAGGCCTGAAGTGCTGTCTGTTGAAATACGAGCTAGAAATTGAAATTTATATATTGATACACTGTGAGTCAAGCTCGTAACATTAGAATTGATTAGATTTATAAAATAAGATTTTAATATAAGATCCAAATGAGGGGGCCTTTTGTTTACTAATATTCTTCAAGGGAAGGGACAACCTCCATTTTTCTAACTTGAATTTTTTAGTATAATGTATGGATTTAGTGTCAGATAAATATATGAATCTTGATTTATTTCTTTACTTGCTTATTGATAGGATTAAAATAAATTTATTTTCATTGTTGGATATATACTTGAGGCCATATACCTGTGATTCACAGCCACACTCTGGCCAAGGTAATTGGGCAGGTAGTCAGCCTTTGATCAATTTGCAGGTGATTAAGAGGACACTGGCAGGCGTATCAGTCTTAATTGACTGGTAGCTAGTTGTTTTGTTAATTGCCTCAGCAGTTTCTTTTTAGTTACAACTCTTCCTGTGGAAGCCTCAAGCTGATGAAGCCATTTTCTTTCCCCTAAAATAATACATTAAAGATTCCTCCAGTCCAACAAGTATGGATATAAGAGCTGTGACTTTGAGACTACTCATCACTCGAGATTCAGCTTTCTCTTAAGATAGCAGTTCTCTACATTTTCTCCAATTTGCCAAAATGGAAACTGAGACAAGTTTTCTTCAGATTGACAGTGACAGCTTTGAATCAGATCTGTCTGATTCCGAGGTTTTCTCTGATGATATTGATCAGATGCCAGATCCTGACTACATTGAAGATCAACTGACCATTATGCATGCCAAGTTCTCCAAAGCTCTGCACCAAATTCAGCTGCTAGACCACCACATCTATGGTCTCCAGCAACGTTACTACAGAGCTACAATGACCAGTAGACATGCATCTCGCTACAGCCTTCGTCTCAAGATCACCACTCTCTTTGGTGTAAAGCAGATGATTCAAGAGTATGCACTTAGAATGTCTGAGGAAGCTGAGGCACTACAGAGATCTCAGTATGGCATTTGTTTTCCACAGTCGGAGTAATGTGTCTGATTTTTAACTGAAAAGGCCTTTTTCAAGGCCACCATATCATTTCAGAAAAGCTATACCAATTGTGATTTATTTGATTTATTTTAAAGCAAACATGAATGTTAAAATATATACTTTTCTGTTTTACAGTGATTGTAGTAATGAATAAAAGTAAGAATGTTTGATCCTTTAGGATAAAGTTTTTTGATTGATTTTTAGGACAAATTTCTTCCATTTATCGACTTATTTCAAAAAGAGATAGTGAAGGTGGAAGTCTGTAAAAGCATCATGGAGGCTTTTGTAAAGTAAGCTGACAAAAATAATAGACAGATGTTCTGGAGTTTTTCTAAAGAAACAGTTTAATTAAAGATAAAAAATTATTTACATTTTGGTAAAAGGGAATAAAAGAATCAACCTGTCTTATATATCTTAACTTGCAACAAATAGTATTTATTGATTTTTTTCTCGCTTTGGTGTATTAATTATTAGTTTTCCCCTTTCTAAGATACCAGGCAGAGGCAACAAGTGATCCTGTCATTATCAATGCCCTGATGTTCATCTGCAAAACTATGCATGATTCTGTCAAGTGAGTTAATTGTGAGACTTTTGTTGTCTTTACACAAGTTAAGGTTTGTTCGTGTTAATGGCAGAGAGAGAGAGAGAGAGAGAGAGAGGGAGGGTGGGAGGGAGGGAGGGGGAAGAGATTTTCTCCTACACTAAACATATTAAAAATTTAAACCAAGTAAAGATTAGTTTAAAAACATTCTGCTTAATTTGCACTTTACTTTTGCAGTGCCCTGACCCTGGATGATGAAGTAAGAGCCATAGGTGGGTTGATATGTGGGTTTGTAAGGAAGATATCCTTTGGTCGTGATTTTGAGCAACAGTTGAGTTTCTATGTGGAGGCCAGGGCTAACTTCAGCAATCTGGATGCAGTGTTGGTTGAACTGGTAGAGGTGAGTTGATATTATAGTCAACTGCATGGCCACACACACTTGCATTGTGATTCATTCTCTGATAAAGGCATGCTAATAACACTGATATATGCTTTTCCAATTTCCATTATTCAGCTGTTTTTCATTGAATTTTGAATGTTTTTTGTTATTTCAGTGTGTAAATACATTAGCAGTGGAAACCAGAGATGTGGTTAAAGGAAAACATTCAAGGAAGACTGCAAGCTTTGTTAGAGTAAGTCTTGCTCATTTATGTCTTCAGAAATATGCAGTTACATATTATACTTATGTTTAAATATGAATATTTCAAAAATTCTGCCTTTCAGAGTATTTTCAACTTAAACCATTGTTGGTTTTAAAGTACATATAGTATGTATGATTGTAACAACAAATCCTAATTTGGGCTGAATATGTAAGGGAAAATATAGTAAGCCATTTATTTTGTTTATTTTTATTTTTGGGGAATTTTTCTATCACCCCAGTTGAACAAAAATCTGCTTGTGATTTTCCAGGCATGTGCTGCCTACTGTTTCATCACCATTCCGTCGTTACAAAGTGTCCTGGCCAGACTGAAACTCTACCTGGTGTCAGGACAGGTGGCCTTGCTGAACCAGTGTCTTAGTCAGGGTGAGAATTTGGAATTTGCCTGTCATAGAAGAAATTGGGATGTAAAGTTGAATTTTTTAAAAAGTGAAATGGGGTTTATTCCACAAGAGTTGCAGATTAAGACAATTCCTTGTTATGTGGGGTTGGTTCATCTTGATTCAGAAATATATTATCATGTATGCAAAATATTCATCTCATTTATTTTGTTCCATTTTGCCATAATGGTTTGTTTTACTACATTTGACCAATTTTCTAACATTAAATTTTTCCTCATTAGGGGATGCATTTCTTAAGGCTGCTATCTCCTTGATAGCTGAGGTACCTAAGACATTGGATGTAGATGGGAAAGTCAGATCCACAGAGCCTCTGATGACATCATATATCTGTAGCCTGCTGTCCACTTTACTAGCAGTTCCAGTAAGTGAAGTGATCATTTGAGAATAAATAGTTCAGAAATAAACGGAAGAGATGAATCAGATATCCCGGAGATTTGCAATTAATGGCCTACTTGAATTTTCTAAAATCATCCATAGCAAATCTTGATAAAGTAGGTGAAAAATTGTATGTTGTCGTAATGATTTTGTATTCCGATTTCAAAATCATAAGACATTTTATTTTATTCGATATTTTTTAGTACATTTATATGTCACATTGAACAATCTATCACTAATTTTTATCACCATTTTAGGACAACCCAGACCAAGGTGTCCTGTATCTGTTGCGAGGCTTACTGAATGTACTGTCAGACTTCCCTTGGGACGTGAACAGTAGTGCTAAGGCTGTGGTCTATGTCAATGTCCTCAGTCTGCTGTGTGCTGTCAGCCAGGAAGATTATGTCTACCACATAGACAGAGGTTGGTTTCATAGTTGTATCGGACATCAAACACGTCTAGACTCTCTTCTGTTTGTATCATTCTGACACTAAGGCTGTCAGACAAAATTGTATAAAAATGTCCCAGTCATTAACATATCAGTCTGGAATATTCATGAGGCTTGTCAGTTGGGCCAATTCACATAACATTAAAGTTAAGATTGTGCTGCAATAAGCTGTGTCTTGACATCTTATAGAAACATTGATTTTTCAAAAGTAATTTTGCAAAAGAACTGTTGTGACATTACCCCAATTTTGCTCAGATAGAAATGGGAATTGTTTCGAAATTCAAATATCCAAGAGTTGCTAGGCACAGACGTTCCATTTCTTGAAAACTCCCACTTTTTTCCCTGCAGTTGATGCCAATGACTCCATGTATGGCAGTGATCCCAAGTTTCTGGGTGAAGTGACCAAGATATCTGCAACAGTTCTGGAGGAAGTCTTCAGTCATCTTAAGGTGCTTGGGGAAGGACAGGTCAGTTAACAATGGATACCTCTTTTTGTTTTTATTGTCTTGAAATTTTTCCTTTTTTTATTTTGCAGGGATATTATAAGAAACTGCTCATTTATTTGTTTTTAATATCATAATTTTGATGAATTTCTGACAAGGAAGGGTGCTGTGCTAGAATTTGATATTTTATCTTTCTTTCTGTGAAATTAGAATTTCTCTCTTCCTTAAGTACAATTGCTTATGAATTTCACTTTTTTTTTTCAGAATTTCAAAAAGCAGGCAGAAGCAGCCATTGAGGTATTTAATGTGATGGTTGCCCATGGTGATCTCAGTAAACATCAGATGTTCACTCTGGCTCTTAACCTCTGGGGTCTGGCACAGAAACATGGACAGGGAGACACCAAGCAAATGGTGAGAACTGTTGTAATAGAGTGGATTTTTAGCTGTGCATGCTTAGTATTTGGATATGAAAAATAAGTTTAATTTTAATCTACTAATATTACTTCATATATGCTATTTAATTTTTTGGTACAATTGAGATTTAGATATATGTCACCATGAGATGTCTTTTTTTTTTAATTCAGTTAATTCCTGCATTAAAGTCTTAATTGCCTATCTTTATTTATTTATTTATTTATTTATTTATTTATTTATTTATTTATTTATTTATTTATTTCAGTTTTACCAATGCTTTAATTTTTTTATGTTTCATGATTCCAGGTAAGAACATTGGACTATGTAAAGAGAAAAGCTATTTCAAAGGACAAAGAAGGAAAAGTGTTTGCAGATCTGGCGAGTAAAATGCATTTGCAGAGTAGGACATGATTTTACCATAATTTGAAGTTTATTTTCCTTGAGATGGAGAATTTAATGCTTGTGTGCTTCTTCAAGAGAGGATATAGACAAATAAAATTTTTGTGTATTAGAACTGGAATAGAGATGGGGTTTCCTACAAAAATGTTCTAGTTACTGTCCTTAAAAATTCTTGGAAATGCATGGCCCTCTTCAATCAATGCAGATTTTTGAAATAATATTGTCAAGTGCCAAACTATGTTAAATTGTTCTTACAAATTATGTTGAAACTGGCAATTGGATTATTTGGCCTACATTTTAATTGCATGTAAAAGCATATATGCAAAATTATTGTCATGATTTGGCCAAAAGGTTTTTCTATGTGTCAATTTTCCAAAGAGTTCTTTTTCAGTTCCTGAATCTTTCCATTATGGAAAAACCTCTGAGTCAATTAAAATCAAAGAAAAGCAGCATCTGTGAAATGTTAGGTAGAGCTTTGTAACAGTTTGATACAAAACCTTTTGTGTGCAATTTTTTTTCTATGGAATAACAAAAGCATCTTTAATTTAATGTAACAAAACATCTTCCCAGGACTCTGCTGTTAAAAAAAAAAAAAAAAAAAAGAAAAAGAAAATAAAGTCTATGATGACTAAGATGAGCTTCACAGTCTGGTGCCTCAGACTGTGGCAACACACTGATCAAATAGTGTTTCAAGATAAAAATCTTTATGTTATAGAAGGCTGGTGGATTTTATATAGTTTATGTGATTGTAGAAGATATGCATGAGTATTAAAATGTACTTGCTCACTCTGCTGGATATTTGTTGGACAGATAATAGAGAAAGTAACAGACAGTGGGTTTCTATACAAACACCTATATATCTCTTTCTTTAATCAGTCCATGCCTCAAAATGATGAAATTTAAGATGGATGAAAGTGCATGTTCAATTACAGCCAATGAGTTACTGATGAAATTGTTAATACCTGAAATGTTATTTAAATATACTTGTTTAGAATATGACATTAAATGGTGCTTTTAGTATCACATTGGTTTGCATTTTTATCTTGGCAAGGAGACTATATAAAGACCCTAAAATATTGAGATTATCTCAGTGTATAATCTGATTAATAATGTTCAAGTATGCAAAAATTTCCTGCAGAGCAGAAAACTGAAACAATAAATTATACTTACATGTATATATAACCATTGTTCTTATTATTTTATGCAATATAAGTAGGCTTTGTAGACTCTTTCAGTCAATGATATAAATAGATGATGACATTGAAGCAAGCTGTTGGTCCAGCTGCTGTTTTTTTTTTCCTTTTGTCAAAAGTCTTTTAATATTCTCTGCCTGACACTTATCTTTCAGAATGAATCTTAGCATGAAAGTTAGTATCTAAAAATTAATTTTGTTTTATTGAAAATGTATTTAATGAATATACTTTTGGTTCAATTAAGGCAGACACTTAATATATACAGTGTTCTTATATTTTGGCATATCTACTTCTTGGTGCAATGACACATGTATTCCTGGCATCTGTCCACTAAAAACGGAATTATTCATATTTGTTTGTAGAGGGCCCACATATAAGTTGTTGTGAGCAGAAAGTAAAAACCCTCCATGTTAACGAGGATTGATGTCTGTCCCTCACAGGTATAGCTGGTTGAGTAGAACCAGTTTCTCAAAATTCATGCAATTTAGACATCATCTTGTCATTTTTGCAAAATAAAATTTAAGTGCTGGTGGTGTGTCACGTATCAACTAGAACAGGGGTAGGTGAAGAGGTTAAAGGGAGAATTATACTGGCATGTCTCCTTATGCAAATATACAGAGGTTATTGTCAACCAAAAGCTACACAAGGTAACTCCGACAGGGAATTGTACAACAACATTTCTGTCATATAATATGCTTCAGTAGTTTTATTGAAAGAAACTCGCTTGTGCTGTAGTACACAAAACAACATTTCTTTAAAAGTCAAGCCCTAGTCAACCTACCTGGTAGTTACATTTACCTAAGAATTTCTCCAATAAAAGTCAAATGCATTCATTCGGGTCCAAAAACTGGTTCACCCAGAGCGTTAAATGGATTTACTAGAGGAAAATGAATTTCAAATGGATCATCAGATAATGCTTGTATTTGCAACAGGTACCAGTCCTATACCTGATGTCACAGTCAATGTCAAGCAGAGTGTGGTATTGACATTAAATCGCAAGGAGGTCACTTGATTGTCCCTAGGGATGTTATAGATGTAGACGTTATAAATAGACCTTACATGTGGGTGTAGATTGGCAGAATTTGAGTGGAGCAATTCACCTTTGTTGTTGCTATCTTAAAAGATACTGGTTGTGTGTGAAGTCTCACTTAGCAGTAGTGGAATCTCAGTGTCACCACTGATACCAGGGCCATTTGGGAGATGGATCGATTTAATGGCATTTATCCTACAGATGGGGCAGAAGAGGATTTTGTCACAACACATGAACTTCACAGGAACAGGAAGGTAAATAAGAATATTATACGGAGATTCTTTATTTTGCAGAAGAATATATATTACAATTATTGGGGTATACGTAGCATTAATAAAACTTTGGATCTACTGTTTAAGTGATGTTGAAAACATGAGTGATACCATTTCATTTGGATAGCGTATGCTTAAACAAAGCCCACTTGTAAATGTAGATACCAATATATACATGTATTGCTCTGCAGGTATGACATTTCTAGGTTGTTACAATGCAGAATCTGGGTCATTATAATCACTAGGCTAAGAAATTAACAAGTACATATATCAGATCCTGAAAGCTCAGGTTAAGCATCGCTTTAAGCTGTAGTTTTATGTCTTACTTCTGCCTGTCACTATTAGTAAGTTTATTTTTAAATGTACAGATTTGCCAACTTAACAGTTTTTGTCAAGTGAAACTCTATAAATTATCTAATATGATATTAATGATGGAAATCAATACTAAAAACTACATGCACATGTAATATTTACTGCATTGCTTTGTTAAATGAAGAGCCTTTACACTTGAAATAATTACTTTGTGAGTTGTACAGTGTAGCATGTCAAGATGAATAGAAATTCTTCTTGATCATATCATCCCTTTATAATCTTAAAGCTTTTTCACCATGCCATAGTGTGTTAAATTTATTCAGTGTGATGTTTACAGGAGCAAACTCAATTCAAGTTGGGCAGAAAAACTTCAAAAGAAGACATTCTGAAGATTGAATAACAGTTATTGATGTGTCACATTGATCATGCTCTCTCTCAAATGTCAAACCAAGTTAAATTTGATGTAATATTGTACTTTGTATTTAAGAACATAAAAGGATCCCCTCTAGATTCATAGAATATTTTATTTGCTTTAACAAAAGAAAAAATAAAGTTTTTAAGGGAAGGTTTCAAATTGCTTAAAGTCTCATTGAATTTTTGTGTCTGTATGCACAAGCTTCCAAATTTAAAACACACACACTGTGGATTAACTTTAGTCTTCAACCAAATCTGCATAGAATATGTTCTGGATGAAAAAAAAAACAATTTGCTTGGAAATGACCATATACTCTTGCTGACACCATATATAGTTATTGATAACTAGAAATAATATATTAAAGTGTTTTTAACAAACTATAAAGTGGAAAAAAATCTCACAGTTACTTAATACACCTGTAGAATCAGTTTGCTATCCAAATTCTCCCTTGATGTGTGTTTAATGGCCTGTTTTAACATTCTTGACAAGTATGCATACAGTATGATCTGGATGTAATTTGAAAAAATATATATTACAGGTAGAAATGACCATGCATATACTCTTTTTAACTCCACCACATTCAGTTATTATCCTTGACATGAGTGCTAAATGTTTGTATTGATTCAGAAGTGTTAAAAATAAAAATTGGGGAAAATTTGATAGGACTCACAGTAAGTTGATACACCTGTAGAATCAGTTTGCTGCCCAAATTCTCCCTTGATGTATGTTTAATGACCTGCTTTAACATTCTCCTTGTCTATAGGTGCAGGTGAATGTGAGCTGCTGCATTTTAACCCCAGTTGATGTTGACCAGCGGCATCAGACATTTTCTGTCCAATTTTATCTGCGCCTGACATGGAGAGAGACAAGGCTCAGAGGGGTGGCAGAGGAGGTAGTAAATTTTGTCTTTTTTGTTATTCTATTCATGGATACCCCCCCCCCCCCCCCACACACACACACACACACACACATCAATTTATTTTTCCAGTGGTCAAACAGGATGGCTGTATCACATTCAGATCTTGATATGAAGTTTCAATAGTACATTATCTGGGTACAGGATCAATGGAAAAAGAACAGAAAATGAATCCTGAATTATGTTGGTTGAAATAAAATGAAGACACTAGGCAGCAATAATACTGATATTTCAACTGACTAGCTACTACATCATTGAAACATCTTTTTTTTATATTTAACTGGTAAATGCTAGAAATTGCAGACCCCACCAATTAAGGCAGCTCAATCCTCATTATTGGGTCAACACTAATATCTGACTGACTTAAAGTTAGTCCATTTCCGATTATCCTGAAAAATATATCAAAGTCCATCTATAACATTTTGAGTTAAGGGCAATTATCTAACAAACCAAGAAAGACAAAAAATATTAACCTCCTTGGTGAAAGTACGTAATTAATGACAGATGGAGAAACAAAGAGAGCATCCAGATAAGAATGGGTGCAATTTTTGTCTTTTATACAGTGATTTTATAGTGCTAAGGGGAAGGTTTTATTACGTACAGTACCTGTAGAAATGAGGATAGGGTAATTACTGTCAACAGTACCTGCAGCACAGAGGTCTCTGGTTGTATTGTTCATTTTCATATAGAGGTCTTTGTAGTACTGGTAGCTTTTTTTTTCTAAGGAGAATTAGATATGAATATCTTTAAAATTTTATCATTTTAACTTGGCTCTAATGCCACAAAAATTGAGGAAATGACTTTTATTAAGGCTTTAAATGTCCCCTTTATGTCAAAAAAAATATCACTGAATATATTCTTTTGCTCTCCAGTCTGTAAACTGGTCAGAGCAGTGGGACCCTAAGATAGTATTGCTGAATGCAGTTCACATCTATAGCAAGTCTGAGACCAAGTCTCTGGAGTACAACAGGAGAAGTGACATACCCTGGGTTGTTCATGGTGGGTAAACCTACAATGATCTAATACATTTTCAAAGGTTGAATTAGGCCCCATTCCCATAGACGCCATCGGACTACGTATATCGATCCAAATCTGCAGGGGACTATTGCTGAGTACAGTCAGCTAAACTGAGCTTTCCTGTGTTCTCTTCAATGACAGGAGGAGGCATGTCATATAGTTTTTCACTCACTGAGACTCCCAGCAGAGTTGAATCAATCTGTGTTGATCAGTGGTGTCTGTGGAAATGGGATCTTACATAATGTATTGAGAACAAACTGCTAAGATTTTTTTTAAGTGATCTCTTATTCTCGTGCATAACAACAGTCATTTTAATGATTAAAAAAAAAACTATAAAAACTTTATAGTAAATATTTTCAGAAAGATTGGAAATGTGATGTAGGTATAGATGTACATGTTTGAACACTTTTATGATAGGAGTGGTGGGTATATCTTGTTCATTTAAATACTAGATTTAAAAATGATGTAATGTTCAATGCATAATTGTTTGAAAATATATATTCTTCGGTTTAGTTTTGAGAGTGAATGGTACTTTCAAGGCCAGTTTTGATGTGAAGAATTATCCCATTGACTACCAGGTATGTTTCCTGATATCTGATACTTTTGCTGCCCTTTATTATAGATCACAGTAACAAAAGTATATCAACTTAAAAAACTGTTTTCCAAGGATTGCATTTACAAAAGTTTTGTTGGAGGTGTAGGAAGAGTAAATCACATTAATACAAATGCATTTCTAAGATATAAGAAAATGTTTATTATTAGAAAAGCATCAGATTTTTTGTTTATTATAATTTTACATATTTTTCAAAAATGTTAATTTTTTATTTATTTTTTTTTTACACATAAGGAGTTGCCTATACATATTTCATCTGAATGGACACAGCACAACCTGCAGTTCCAGAAGGACACATTAATGAAGGATGAGTTATTTTACCAATCCACAGACAAAGAGGGTAAGTAGTTCTTAGCATTTCATTGGCTGATTTTAACATGTTTTCTCCATGTTTATTGTCATTTTTACAGTTTTATATTAGAATATTACAAAGGATTATTATTTACTTTCGTTGATTGGGTTTTATTAAAAATCTTTTCCTGTCAATGCATATTACCATATTCACAAGATGGATACATTTGACTTTTAAGACATAAAACATGAAAACCCCATTACATATTATGAATACACAGCTTTTTAAAGATGCAACTGTTGTCTTGGATTTAGCTGTTTAATGCTTTATTCTTAAATCATATAAAAGATATACTTCCATAACTGTGTGATTCAGATATAATGAACAACACACAACAAACTGCACTAAAGACAACTTTCCATAACCCTGCTATTCAATAATAATAATAATAATAATAATAATAATAATAATAGGCAGTCCGGAGTGGGAATTAAATCCCTGTGTAATGGTGGATGAGGAGGCGCCAGTCATAGAACCTAGCATGGACAGTGCAACCTGGTTCCAACACGAAGACTACACCATCAAGTTGTTTGTCAAGAGAAAGCCCACTTTCTACATATGGAATGTATTTTTAGTGATGGTAAAAATGAAATATTTGTTCAAAGTTTTGGTATATTTCACATGGAATGAAGTTCAAATGGAATGAAAGTGGTTACTATTATAAGGAAACATCTGCTTGCTGTAACATATGCTGTGCTATTACTGCATAGAATTCTATTCAATAACTAATAGTCTGTAGGCCATTATAATTAAAATCTTATTTTTACGGAGGTTTAAGAAGCACTCTCATTCTGTGTATAAACAAATGTTTTAATTTTTTAAACAAACTTTGATTATAATAATTACCCATCACTTGAGTGAAAAGAAAAAAAACTTTATTTCAGGGAATTATCACCTTCCTTACATTTGCAACATTTGGAAATAATGCACAAGAAGCAGACGAGCGAATGGAGATAACAATGTTGTTCTTCCTGATACTGGTTGTTGTTTACTACTTTATCACTCAAAGGCTGAGCATTTTCTTAACAACTACATTACTGGTAAGGGATAGATATACATGTTATTAGATATCAGAAGCTCTCTGTTGTTTTTAATTTTGGTATGTGCACTTTGAACCATAGTGACTTACATTGACTTGTTTGAAATATTGAATTTTTTAAAATCTCTTTTTTTCATCCAACAGAAAAGTTTGTTACTTATCCATTTATAGTATAAAGGAAAATTTTTTACTTCAGGATGTATTTTTCCTCTGCTGTTTGACCATACAGAGTCTGGTAGCCATTCAGAATAGTATTATGGTATCAAATCACAGATTCCCTTCTACAGTGGATTCAGTGCTCACAGCTGTAGTGGCAGGGATTGCAGTATTAATGTTCATCATCTTCATATTCATTTTACTGAAAAAGGTATAATCTTTTGTATTTTTAGTACCATATGGCCCATTTATGCCTGCACATATCTTCTTTAATCAGTTTGTCCATAACACAATTTTATAGGGATCTTTGGATCTGATGATGAAGAATTTCCATAGCCACTGCTAGGTTTAGGCAGACAAAGCACTCGGCCCCTCTGATATTTCTCCAGTTTTTTATGGGGGAGGACATAAAAAATACAAGAAATTCAAATATAAATTATTGTTACAAAGTTAAAATGTTATATTTAAGTTTCTTGGGGGTAAGAGGTTGATTTTGTTTTGAATGTTGCACCAAAAAACAACCTTTTTTAAGCCTAGTATGTACAGTTTACAATAATATAGCTGATTAATGACTAAGGCACCTTATAGAAAGATTTGGATCACTGATCAACTTATTTTGGCATGCTCTTTTCTTTGAACCCTTTGACACATGATGCTAGAAATTTATAAAGCAACTTTAACAATAGATTTATTCTGCTGTAAAAGTCAAAAATCTTGATGCTAAGCCAAAGTAAACCACAAAAAGCTTTTTTTTTATTGCATAAGGAAGCTTCTGGTGCATTTTCCTACTACACTACATTTTATTCCAAAATTACATAACTGTGAATGATTTGACTGTTACTGCCCTTCAGTAAAGTGAAAAACTAATCAATTACATATTAACAGCATGCTGGAGGAGCTTGTGAACATTTATATTCATTATTTTCTCTCAATCTTATTTAGAACAGCAACAGAAACCAAGTTCTGAACAATTATGTCAACCAGTATATAGAGCTCTGCAATGATATTGAGGAAAATATGCGCAGAAAACATTCCCGTGACACAATGTCAGTGAATGGTTCAGTAAGAAATGAAATCTCTGTGACAGAAAGCGAGTTAGAGACCAGACTACGAGTGGTGTCAGCAGTAGAGAGTGAAGTGTTTGAAACAGAACCAATGGTAACTGTAATATATCTCTTTCCAGTAGAAATCTGTGTTTAATGTGTAATGATGCCATTATTGATTGTTTTAATGAAGGGAACACTTTTGGGGCTTTTCTAGAAGTCTAATTTTTGTCATTTTTCAGGATTCATTTTGAAACTAGTGAATTAATTTTAACCAAAGCATTCTGAGTGAACTTTGCATGGTGAATTCAAAAGCAGCATTTATGCCTAATTTGTAATAAAAAACAACATGATTTCAACAAATTTAATAATGGTAATACTAGTATTGTCAATCAGAAAAACTTTTTTCAGATGGCAAAACTGTCTTCTTACTAAGATTTCCTGTAAAATGGGTTGTTTCATCTTCTCAGTCTCATTATCAGACATTTATACAAAGTGCTTCTGTTTAACAGGATGATGAGAGAGAGCAACTGATTACAGACAAAGATGTCAGGCCCAAGACCAGTACACCTAAAAACACAAGCACCACTAGCCCCAACAATACCAAATTCAATGCCTCTGCTAGAGGCCAAACCAAAATCAATAACAGCAATGATAAGCCTCCTCCATATCCAACAGAGAGCTCAAGGGGTAAGGATAGCACTACAGCTAGCAGCTATCACAAAAAATCTCATAGTCAGCCAGAGACACCAAGAAACAAGGGGGTGGCGTCAGGAAGTGCCTTTGTTCATAGACTTCCTCCATCGGATACACCTAAAGGCAGTAAACGCTTTTTAAACAGCTTTTATCCAAGTGCAGTGACGCATTTTAATTTGATCTCAAAGCTAAATTCTTAATTAATTTATTTATTTATTATTTTATTATTTTACTCTGTATATTGCTCCAATGGAAAATGATTTCCGATTTTTATAATTGGCTAAATAAACTCTTATCTTAAAGGCAAAACACCCGGTGACAATTTTGGAAACTTGCCAGCTCAGCAGAGGGAGACATCAGACAATGCAATAAAACCTACAGCAGCTTCATCATCTTTTGAAGCAGCAGCTGAGCAGATGGTAAGGCATCTGTCATGTGAAGAGCAACCATACAGCAAGCAGAGAAATAACAGTGAATCAGATGTAAGTGACCAATAAGGATATTAAGTGATTTTTTTTCTTCAGTATGAGGGATATTCTTATCATCAGAATTTTGTTCACTGAAGATCTTATGCAAGTTTATTCCTGAATAAAATTTCTTTCAGACAAACTACTGGATAATTATAGACATCTAAATCAAAATCCTGCCCTAAATAAAATATAACTTACAAAATATTTTACATTTTAAAGTCCAATTAGGATATTATTGAGCATTCGGCTGAAATTTACTGATAAACAGAGCCCAGCTCATGTCTTGCTGTAATTTGTTGTGCTGTCATACATAAAAGTCAAAAAGATTTTTTTCTTGAAAAAGAATTTTAAAAATTGATTAAGAACAGCATTTTATTGGTCAGTTTAAAAGAAAGGGTTATTTTTTAACAATTTAAAGAAAGATTTTTTTTACAATTTATTGTTGCATTTCAGAAAAGGAAGCCTCCTTCTCACTTTGAAAGAAACCTGTCAGCCACATCATCTTCTGTCAGTCCTGCTAGTCCTACAACTCCAGTCTATGAATGTTCTGTGTGAGAAACTACTTTCCACACCATTCAAAATTTAGTGTACCAGTAAAAACTTGCATCCACAGCATGTGTTGGATCAACCAATGTTCTTTAAGAAAAACAAGACCAATAACATTCAAAGAGAAGGCATCTGCAGAAGTTTTTTTCTTTTGTGACCTTGTTACAAAGATTGAAAACGCCAGGTTTTGTCCCATATGCATTTATTCTGAAAATTCATTGAATTCACATACACACTTTTTGTTGATGGAAATGCCATTTCAAAAATCATTGTAAGATACTCAAGAAGTACCTCAAGTTTGTCAGAGTATAGCTTTTGCCCATATCAGTACTTCTTGTAATCAATGTTGTAGAGTTAAAAGAGCAGTGTTGAACATTCTGGATTCAACCATCATTCTCATGGCTGTATTAATGAGTATCTAAAAAAGCTGCAGATTATGTGGCTTTAAACTTTGCCAACTTGGAATAGATAAGCATTTGCTAAATGTATAAAAATTGGAGTCAAACAGTATATAAACAGCATGTAGAGAATTACATGCAAAAAGCTTCAAGCAAATATATCATAAAATAACAGCTTGCATACTCCTGCACTCTACAAAACAACTTGCATTATATTTTGTTGCTTACAGCTTTCAAATATTTATTTTTAAGTCTGACAATATTTGCATTTTTGTGAATGAAATTTACCAAACTGATAAAAAAAGTTTTCATCACAGCGCACCTAGCAATATCAGTTTCCTCATTTTCTTACTGGAGATTTTAAGTTTATTCCTTGGTTCTTTCACCTAACTTTAATATTGTTGACACTAGTACCAATAATGTAAGGGGACTTTTTTCCAAAAAGACAGTAGGTAGTTTAACCAAAAATTATTAGTTTACGGCTAAAGTTTATTCAGAAAAACAATTCATTGATCTTGTATTTTTTATATTCCTTTCCAGTTATAAGCATAATAGCTACAGCCATTCCATGTTGCCTTCTTTTACACCTAAATGAGCAAATAAACAAAGTTCATATACAGAAAAGAGTTTACTTTGACTGATTCTTGTACATATCAAAAAGAAGGTTTGAGCAAAAAACTGATATTTAAATAACATTCAGTGTGTGTTTTGAGGCACATGAAGCTTTCTCACTATTTATTACCAAGTCAATTGTATGAGTGGAAGAAAAGATTCAGAGCACAGGGCCAAAAGTAAAAAAAAAAAATGGAATACAGCTGTGGTTGATATCATGTATAGTCAAAGTGTATTCAATACAGAGAAACTGCTGATCTCTTTTTCATGGAAAGGTTGGGACTTGCTTTAAAATTGCATTTGGACAAAGCATTGTCAAGTGTTCTTTGTCAATATAGTTTAATGCTAAACCATTTAGCACCTTCAACATTGAGGAGATGAAAATCAAGCATTGAGATACATGATACAACTAAATTAGCACCTTTAACACTTACATTTAAAACATGTTTACTAGCAACGTAAGATTACACGACAAAATATATCTGAATTATATATCCACAACACCCCAAGTTTCAAATATCCATTGTGTTCCATTCACTTCCATTTATAAAGGCAATTGCGTCCGGCACAGGTTTGAACTGTCTGGCCAGTTAGATATGTTCATTCAGTAATAAGGGACCTATAAACTGTGATCAAAAAGCTCAAGAAAATATTGTTATAGCTGTTGAAAAGACAGATAATTGTATGTTTTCAATAATAAACAGTTCCACTTGAAACTTCCAAAATAAGAATATTGAGTGTCACATTATTTACAATTTAAGAAAATTTCATCCATAGCAAATACATTATTGCTCCAGGTAAGTCTAGAATATCTGGAATGAACTACCTAAAATGTGGAATGAAATAATCAAATGAACCTTGGCAGTCGACTTTGACTACATAAGCAAGCTGTATACAGGATGAAAAAGAGTTAAGAGCCCTTTTAACAAAAGGTTTATCAAATGGACCACCCAATTCTGAAACTCTGGATACTGGCAAAATATACACGGTCTGTGCACACAACACATAAAATTTAACAGTGTAAATACAACAAACTGATAGCATTTCAAATGAGATACTGTAAACATATCCCTTCACTTAATTAAAAGAAAAAATTATCACCACAGACTAAACAGCAGGGAAAAACTACAAGGACGAATTAAAGATTGTCATACTGTAATAAAAGTACACAAGGAATATTTTTTAATTATTGTATAATTACTTAAATATGTAATTACTATAATTACTTAAATAGTGCAAATAAAGAGTATTGAACAGGAATAAACTGAACTGATTCTGAGATTGCAACTTGATGACCAAATAAAACTTGTTTAAAAATGACACCATTTACATGTAAAGTTTCATTTGTTGCTGCATCTCATCAAGAGAATGCACACCAAATTTCTCCTCATGTTCTCGCAGAAGTTTAAAAATCTGCGACATCTGCACTTCCTGGACTTCTTTCTCCTCTTCAAGTTGTTCCTCACTGAGTTCCTTAGCAATCAGCCGACTGGCAACGCGTGAACGTACTTTTTTAAATTCTGCCTGAGTGTGAGCATGGTATTCCAGGGGATCATAAACATCCTGTCTGGCCCAAGGAACATCTGACAATCCCTTTGGGTGGGGGCTTTCTTGGTGAGGTGTATCAGCTGTTGTGGCTTTTCCTTCGTTTTTCTCTTTGGCTTTCTGTTCAGCCATTATGGCCATAAAGGGGCACATGTAAGGAGCTGCTTTACCACCACTGGAGTCCTCATCTGCCTCCTCTATGTTACTACCTTCATTTTCTTCCTCATCCTCAGCTGTAAGATGACCTGTATCTGAAACATTTGAAGAAGGTTAGTTTTTTTTTTGTCATTGAAATGGCTACAAACTTTAGAAATCAATCATTTGAGGCTAATCTAAACTAATATTTTACTGAAATATCAATTTTCATGCCGTTAATAAATTCAAGGTGCAGTTAAAATGTTTTTATTGGGCTAAAAAAAAACTTATCTGCAATAGCACACAGTCTTTTCACCTGAAATAGCAGGCAGACTTTCAAGTTGGACTTTGAAAACATGCCAATAAGTCATCAATATTCCATGGACATCATTGGTGTTTTTATTGAATCTTTTCGGTATAAATGATAATTTTTTCAGATTCCTTACATATATATTTCACATGAGAGATTTATTCTCCAATTAAAGGGGTGTCAGCCTGATGGATGTTGTAAAATACAAAGCATAGCATCGACCATCCAATAACCTATAGACAAATAACATTGGAAATTGCCTTTTTTCTTTAACCTAGACAACACATAGCAATATTAGTACTCCTTTTTTATAATACATCAAAGCAACTGAAGTATAATACAAAAATGAGAATATGGTTAAATATTTATATACCCTTTCCAGGAATATCATTAATAATGATCACAACTAGGATGAAAATCAATATCAATATTCTCTGGCATAGCCAATAGTGTATCCTCCTTTTCCAACAAGGCTAATCTGTGCATGCAGTATATTTCCACTAATCAGACACTATTTCTTTGTCTTCAGGAAGTTGTACCTATAAGTTACTAGTATGAGATTTACAAACATCCAGCATTTTCTATGAATGAAGTCTATTCTATTGTTTCACCACCAGTATTCTCTAGATAACTTATCATAGTTTACAATGAATTTATGAGAAATAATGACATGAAACTGATCATGCTGTCAAGCTTATTATCAACCCTTTTGCACATCCTTTGCTATACATATATAGCTATCAATACATCTAAACCCAATTATCCACAAAACGTACATATTAAGGAAGTAGACATGTCTAATTAATGTCTTTAAAGCCAACTAAATGACAAAATACTGAGTATAATTTCAAATATAGTATAACATAAATACAATGTTGCTATAACCTGTGCCTTTTTTGATAAAAGATTTCTTAAAAGGGCCATATTCTCCTGTTTCATTTTGTGAAAAGGATTATAGTCTTTGGACACTAGAATAAGCTATTAGAAAGGGAATGATCACATTTTTTAAAATATGGAATGCATACCCATTATGACTTTTTTCTATCTGAATTCAGAGATTTGAAACATGTCATCTGTCTTCCTTTTTGTTTATATTTGTTTATTTTCATATTTTTTATGACATTTTGGGTTTCATACTTGATATAATCTATCTATCTATCTATCTATCTATCTATCTATATATATATATATATAGCTAGCTATTATCTGGTGTATCTTTATTTTAAAAAAAAGCACATGATTAATGACGATGGAAAGATATGCTTCTTCTTCACGCTTACAAAGTCGAAAAAACGACTTACTTTTTACGGTTCCTCAATATTTGTGGAATATCTTATCATAAATACTATTAACTGCTACATGTATTAATAAATAAATAAAAATAAATAAACTCGCCTAAAATGTTTTCGATACACTAAAATTAGTGATACTTTCTATCTTCTTTTGTTTCGTTATTCATTTATTTAGTCAACAGTAAGCCAAAGAGATGCATATCAGCCGTTTTCTCACCTTGTTCTTTGTACTTTCCACCAGCAGTAGCAGTGTCAGTGGCTTCACTGGCAGTGATTGGTTCTTCACATCTTGGTTTGTCTTCAGGTTTTGCCGTTTTCTGTTGGTTACTCGATGCACTGCCGCTTTTTTTGTACAAATATATGGCCCCTAAAACAACTGCAATAATCGTCAACAAAGACGGGATGATAGGCAGCCAGATATTGTCCAAAAGCATGCTGAGCAAACGTTTTACCGCACTGGAACTTGTCACTGTTGTTGTGTTTGCCGATATTGCGGAAGTCACGTGATCGAAGATATATGTCAAGAATGGACGGTAAGTTACATGTGTTCATTTATCAAGCTGATAGAAGTTTTTTATTCATCGGTCAGATCTGGGATAATGTGCTATGATAATTCACCTAGCTGTCTGGCTTTAGTTTGTGTGTCTTGCTTATGTTAAAGGATATGTGGAGAAAATTGGATGTAAATGAATTATGCCAGTCATTCCTGGTGGTGGTGGTTTGGTTGGGGGGGGGGGTATTATTTTCAAGTACAACAATATAATGATCAACATACGATGTGGCATTATATTTTTTGCCATCGTAAGCAGTTGATTTCTTTCTTTTATTTCAGACACCGAAGAGAGTGATAACCTAGGTGGAGTTAAACATGTTATTCTTATACTGTCCGGGAAAGGAGGGGTAGGAAAAAGTACAGTTACAACACAACTAGCACTAGCCCTCAATAGTGCAGGGAAAAAGGTACTGAAACAATGATATGACTACACATTTGATCTTTATATATATATATATATACAGTACCCAATAACAACAAGGCAGGTGGTTGATGCAGGGTGCATTTGCCCTTTTCCCTTCCTCCTCCTTTCTGCTTTTAATGCTGTGTATTATCTTAATTTTTTTGTGTGTGTTGTATCATATTTAATTCTGTTACATATAGCTGTGGATCACGCTGACTGATTAAATGAAAGTAATGTGAGGGATGGCCAATATTTCTTCTCCTATACCAATGTATTTAAACTCTGGATCTGCCAGTGGCATTATCCAACAAACAAATCTTTATTTATCTCCATGAATAATATAAGTATTATAGAAAATATAAAAAATTCAATAATATTTTTAGGTGGGGATATTAGATGTAGATCTTTGTGGACCCAGCATTCCAAAGATGTTAAATGTTGAAAGCAAAGATGTACATCAGTGCTCCCAAGGGTAAGATAATATATATAATATATGTTTTTGATAGGTACGTTGTTTTGGGTATATCACAGTGAAAGAATACGGTGGGGAAATGGTCATGATATAAGTGCTGTAAGTGATGTGGGATCTAAATATGATAATTAACTATTTTATGTCTTTTTATATATTGTTGAGAATAGTAAGAAAAGATCGCACATTCACAATAAAGATAATTAATAAATAAAATTAAATAGATATATAAACAAAGAAACACTGATATCAAGAAGTAATATGTGGTTTTATATCTAGATGGGTCCCTGTGTATGCAGACCAGGCTCAGCAGTTGGCTGTGATGTCCATAGGGTTTCTGTTATCCAGTAGAGATGATGCTGTGGTGTGGAGAGGTCCTAAGAAAAATGGTGAGTAATTACATGCCAGGATATCAAGAAGAGAGGGTGTTCTTTTTATTATTTATTCTCACCTTCTGTCTCGAAGGGTTGTGTGTAAACGCATGTATAAACAGATTGGTTTCCTTAGTGACTTTGTAACTGAAGACCTATTCAGAAGTCAGCTTGTCACATAAGATAAGAATTATGATGACAATTCAAATTCAATAAATGAGAACACAACAAACTGGTATTTGCCACAAGTAGGGTACAAATAAATGTGAAATTCTGGCACAAAGTTGCCTGCTAAACTAAATTTATGATGATTTGACTACACTTGCCTCTTTTTGAAGAACATCATCACTTTCAATCCCTGACTTTACATGAATGTTAGATTTCATGAAAGAAATATCTTGTACCAATAGATAATAGATTATCTTCAAGTCATTTGTGAAAGAAACTAGCAATACATATCACTACTAGTAGGTGTGGGGAATTTTCTACACTTCTCATTATGTTTAACTATAGGTATTTTATTTCCCCCTAGCAATGATCAAGCAGTTTCTGTCAGATGTGTACTGGCAGGAGTTAGACTACCTCCTGATAGACAATCCACCAGGGACATCAGATGAACATATCAGTACTGTAGAGAACCTGAAGAAATATAAACCTGATGGAGCTGTATTAGTCACTACACCACAGGTGTGTGTGTGTGTGTTTACACGCATTTTTTTGACTGAACATTTGTTGCTGTACATAATCACCACTGTTGTCAAATGTTTATGTGTGATTGCCTGGCATTTGTACTTAGAATATGTCACATAATATATATTTAATTATATATTGAACATGTTTGTCTCAAATTGCAATATGAATAGTTTCATTTTTTTCTAAAACTCTGCTTGTGATAACCTTCTTGCTTTAATCTAAGTTATTTTCATTCAGGATATTTTCATCCCATTTTCCAGGCAGTAGCAGTTGCTGATGTGAGGAGAGAAATTACATTCTGTAGAAAGACAGGGATCAGGATATTAGGAGTTGTAGAAAACATGAGTGGATTTGTCTGCCCTCATTGCACAGTATGTACATGCATGTATATCATTTACTCCATAGAATGACACTTGTTAAATTCCTTTCGGTTGATTGAGGAAAAATGTGTTCATCTGTGAACACAGATTATTTATTAGTTCACATAACATTTATTCAAATCATGGATTATGACATTTTGAAGGCTTTGATTTTTATTGTTTTCTTTTTTCCAGGCTTGCTCCAACTTATTTTCTAAGGGTGGAGGGGAGCAGTTGGCTCAACAGTGCAATGTTCCATATTTAGGTAGGTTACTAGAAGGTTCTTTTCTTTTTCTTTTGATTGTGAATTTTTTAATTAAACACAGGCAAAACTGTTTTTCACAAAAGTTATATTACCTATGGTGAATTTTTATGGGCCACAACTGGTTTTGGGCAGATTTCATGAGCATAGTCAAAATTGCCCGGAAAAAAAAAGACCTTTTCATTTGATTGACATATCACATTTTTTTCACTTTCAGGCAGTATACCACTGGATCCACAGTTAACCAAGTCACTGGAAGAAGGAGAAAATTTTATGAACTCTTTTCAAACCTCAGGAACGCGGCAGGCTGTCATGGGCATTGCAGAAATGATACTGACACAGACTAATGACAAACATTCATAATGAAACGTTTTTGACTTTTGGAATAGCATACTGCGTGGCTGTCTCCAGTTCAAAGCACCCCAAATTTCAGAGCTTTGATATGGTGGCTTCCTCTATGTACCTACCACGCTCTTTCCTGCATGCTTTGATGAATTGTAGAGACTCGATCCGTACTGTAGAGGCGGTTTTCCAGTCAATTCTGGAACCCATGGTGTTGGAAAGCATCTTTTTAATTCACCTTTGAGAATAGACGAAGATCATGAATTTTAATGTCAAAGGTACATAAAGGATTTTGTACAAGATGAACATTAGTAGGCCTATTTATATTTATACTGGTTTGTTTAAGGCGATTATATAATGCATTCTTTCTTTACTGGATACCCAAGCAAAACGTACTGAATTCTAAACAGAATCAGTATAATAAAAGCAGCTTGTACAAGGAATCGGACTGGAATTCCCCAGGTTCAATATGTCGTGGATGCTATCGTACTATGTCGCCGGTCTGTTTAAAAGAAATCGCTAATGACTCACTAATGCCCGCGTCATCGACATAGACTCTATATACGGTCTCTAGGCCTATATATTCTCTGATAGGATATTTTCAGATGGCGCTTCTTTCAGAACAAATACGGTACCAGATACTATTTTGACAAAATAAATTCATGTATTAAATGTGTAGCCTGAATAACCCTACAAAAATCGACGGTTTTGTCGATTTTTTAACAGGTGATTCAGCATCAGTAGCTTACAGATACAACAAAATACTTGCAGAAGTCGCGGGAGAAGATGACGACGTTGACGTCAAAGTGCGTGATAGCAGCTGACGTAGCGTCGTTAGTGCTTGATGTGACGTAGCTTTTTTTTTTGAACCGCCATTTTTATGTATTCAATATGGACGACGTAACCAACAGATTCAAAATTCTGCTTCTAGGCGTATCTGAAAAGACTAAACGAAAGTTTGTTTTGTAGTTTTAATTTTGTCCTATTTGCTTAATTTCTACAGATTTTTAAAGCAGTAGCTATGGTACAATGGACCTAAAACATCGCTTTCTTTTCCTCTTGATATGGGGGACCATTTTCGTGTGTCTTTCCTCAGGAGCCAAACTACGTAAGTCGTCTTTCTGTAAAGATGCTAGCTGTTTACAGTTATACAGTAAAATGTTTTTGTACTAAACTTATTTTTAACTATGTAAGTTTTTGATTACTTATATACATCTTTGAAATTCTATTTTTATAACAAGACTAAAGTAGGCATATTTGTAAATCGTCAATAATAGACAGTGTATCATTCTGTCGTAGCTTCTACCAAGCAAAAGTCGAAGAATTCTCGAAAAAAGCTCGGTCATATGGCCTCTGCTCTATTAAGTTTGAAGCCGGCAGACAGAGTGAAGTTTAGAAAACTGTGCCTTGATAAAAAGAAAATGTGCAAACCAGATATACTTATCGGTAAAAACGCCACTTTACATTGGAAGAGAGACAATGTCGAAGACATTGTTAAGGTACGGTACTGGAATGTTTGATGTAAAGCCAAGATAAATTAAAAATTCGTTTTGTAGATGTTCTACAACCTCTACTAACCATAGGTAGAAACCAAATGAGATATAATCGATCGCTTTTAAAAAATATTTAATCACATATTAAATATGTAACTAAATATTTCTAAATAATTTAGGTTTTACTTCCAAGTCCCACAGGGGTACAGAATGAAAGTTAAACCCAAACACATCGCAATTCACATTTTTGTACATAATGTCGTAGGTACTATCATTCTTGCTGCTGTTATGTCAGAAAAGGTGCACTATACAATATGTTCATTAATCTGTTTCTTGTTTCCTTTTGCTTTTTTAGCTTCGTTTTTGGAATATATACCAGTGTACCTTTAAAAAGTCCCCAAAGTCTTGTCCAGGTTGGTGTTGAATTTCGATGTAAATTGATATCAGTTACTTCCTAAAGCAAGATAGGTCTTGCTGTAAATTGTTTAGGATAAATCGTGATAGAACAGTTTTTCGGTGCGTTACGGTAAAAAATTCTAGTTATTATTGATATCTACAAAAAATTATCAAAAGAATCAGACCAAGTATTTATACAGAACAAATGTACAGCTTTATATTTATTGTATTCATAGTTGACGGCGGTTGGGCAGTGTGGTCCCGCTGGAACAGATGCAGCAACAATTGTGGTCCCGGAAAAAGGAGCAGGAACCGCTCCTGTGCCGATCCTTCACCGCAGAACGGGGGGTTATTTTGTCACGGTCGATCATTCGAGAAAAAAAGATGCATTGGCAACTGCAGGCTTAACAAAGGTTGGTTGATCACGTATGCTTGCAAAGAACATAAATTCTCAATAGTCTACACCCTGGTAAACTTTTTAAAAAATTTATTCGCTGACCAATTTGGTCCTTGATGCATTCCTTTTTTAATATCTAATTACCAAATATCTTCATTATGTACAGACACAGATGTGTCTGTACATATTGCCATCACCTGCGTCTGTCGTCGCCGATGCCGATGCCGATGCCGTCGCCGTGCACTTTCCTTGTAAACACGATAAGTGGAAGGCAGTTTTACTTTTTGGCTTTATATTTACAGAGCTGATGAATATTCATAAAAGGCAGGTCAAGTTCGAAAATCAGCATGATCGGGCCATTATTGTAGAAGTTATGCTGTTTTTTCACTTTTCAGCATATATGCAACCTTGTAAACACATTTTAAGGAAAACCGTTAGGCCTGTTGTCATGAAACTCACAGGAGTAATCAATCTTACTAAAACGCAGGTCAAGTTCGAAAATAAGCATGATCGGGCCACTATTTTAGTAGTTATGCGGTTTTTTCATTGTTCAGCATATATGCAACACTGTAAACACAATATAAGAAAAACAGATAGTGGAAGTGGAAGGCAGTTTTACTTTTTGGCTTTATATTTACAGAGCTGATGAATATTCATAAAACGCAGTTCAAGTTCGAAAATCAGCATAATCGGGGCATTATTTTAGAAGTTATGCTGTTTTTTCACATTTTCTCAGATTTAATTCTTAGGCATGTTAATAGCCTTATTATTTAAGTAATAAGATACGTAAAAGTGTTTTTTTGACATTTCCTGCATCTTTACAACATTGTTAGTTGATTATGTAAAAATGATGGTTAACTTGTTATCGTGTATTGTGTAATAAAGTGTCAAAAATGGAAATAAACTCATATCATTGCAGTTTGTCAGATTCAATCATTCACTATGTTCAGAATCTCAAAATGGAGGAAATTGGACATTTAACACTGTTGTATTGATATTTTTCCCATCTGATCAATTTTCTTAGTTGATCGTATAAAAATGGNCACACATGAATTGACTACTGTTATCACTGATAGTAACAATATTTATGAAGAAAATAAGAATTTACTCCAACAATTGGATTAATTTTTTAAGTTTATTAAAATAAGTATATATTATATTTGCAGTTGACACCTTTAGGAGTGGCTTACTTGAAGGGTCATCGAGGATTATCTGAGATTTTACTGGATCTTCCAGGGATTGACATAGATTTCAAGGATGAAGGGGGTGAGATGTATTCAATATTAGTTCCAGGTTCATTGGAGCATTAAATGTTTGCCAAATTTTGATAATGATTTATCCTGGTTTAGAAATGAGTAGAAAGTTTCTCTGGAAGAAAATTCTTTAACAATCATTATTGTAGTTTTGGGTTAATTTGCAATTGAAATTAGTTTCATTCCAAGACAAAATATGTCAATTTTAAAGAAATGTGTGAAAGTGTCCATTAACAAGCTTGAGTCCAGTTTATTAAAAGATTTTAAGTGATTTTTTGTTCCACTTACAAGAAAAGTGAACCTCAGCAAATGCATGTTTTTCACCTCTTGTACATAACTTTCCAACAGATTAAACTTGACTGTATGATTTTTATCTTTCAGGGAAAACCTTATTACTGAATGAGGCTGCCAAATGGGGAGAGAACCAGTATAAGAACATCTGTAAGCTGGTCAAGGACAAGGGAGCCAGCTGTACAGTAGTGGATAATGATGGCAATGGTGCGGTGAGTACACTCAGGACACTCATGCTACTTCTTAGGATTAGGAAATATTTGTTAAAATATGTAGAAGAACCAAGAATTGTAACCAAGTGATGTGATGAAAATCAAATACTTTGGTTAAAGAATTGAAGTATGAATTATGAATATATCTTCTTTCAGCTTCATCTTATAGCCAAGCAGACTCTGCCATTTAAAGTAGATGAGGTAAGTTGGCAACTATATATTACAGTTTTATATGATATAAAATCTGACGGAAAATTTTATGGAATTGTAACTAACTGTGAGTGTGAGATGGAGATTAGAAGCAATTTTTACCTTAAGTTTGATTATTTAGAGCAGTCAAGGGCTTGAATAGGTGTTTGGTTTGAATATTTCTTCCTTGGCATTATTTAGCATATTGTGTAGCTGAATGAAATGATATATCAATTAAGTTGGTGGAAATTTGAGATTTTTTTTGTAAAATTTAATTTTTTTTTCAATTCCAGTCAGAAGCTGTGGTTCAAAACTGGATATCAGATACTCTGAAAGTGGTGGAATTACTTCTAGAAAATGGCTGTGAAGTCAATGCAGAGAATGACAAGACCACACCTATCATGCTGGCCATCAAACAGCTCCAGCATGCACCTGCTGATGTCAAGTCTCATCCTTTGGTAAGTGACCTCGTGACCTTGAATTTTTCTGGTAAGTGACCTTGAACTTGACCTGTTACTAGGTCATCTTAAGTCAGACAGGCCCACTTCAGGTTTTGTCATCTGACAACCAACTAAGGGTCAATTTTTTTCTGTGTAACTTGACCAACTGATGATAATGGTTGGACCCGTTTCTAATAAAATCCTGTATTGACATTTTATGGCTTAAAATAAAAGCTAATGGAAGCAGATGTTAGTTTTAATATATTTATCAGGGGCAGATCCAGAGCTATTTTCTGACTGTCTTCCAAGTTGTTGATCCATCCTCTATTTTTGACCATCTTCCGACACAAAAAATTAGATACCCGTCAATGTAAACTTGAAAATCTGACCGTCTTCCAGAAGACCCAGAAGACGGCCTAAATCTGCCCCTGGTTATCTAAAATGCAGTCCACAGTGTTACTACTTAAATTGCCAATAAAATTGGAGTCAGACCAGCAATATTACTTAAATTTATTTCATTCTCAGCCACTCAGTAGATTTTTAGACCTGTAGAGCAGACTAAATTATACCCATTGAAATCCAAATCTACTGTTTCTATCATCCTCAGATTACTAGGAACCTGCAGCTGATCAAGCTGTTGCTGAGCAAGATGGCTGAAGTCCCAGACCAAGAAGATCTTTTTGGAGAGAACATCCTTCACATGATTGCTGAGCATTGTGTCATGAAGCCAGTGGGAATGGAGCTCCTGGACCTCCTGCTGGATATGGAAAAAATTGAAAATAAGGTACATTTCATCATTGTTGTTCTTCAACATTAGGTCTTGGACCAAAATTCCAGTTTGATTCATGTAATCGATATTAAGCACATTATGACTAGGATATTGCCACCATTTTGTTGTATCAAATACCAACTAAAGCAAAGATCTTTGCATGTAGTGAAGTGCTGGATACCACCATTTAATTATTATATTTTATTTTTATAGAAGAGTGGTGAGTCAAGCAGCAAGCTTCAAGACATGGCCAGGGTCCGTAGTGGAGCTAATATCACTCCCCTAATGGCTGCAGGGTTTGTCTACAAGTCATCCTCCGTAAGTTTATACAAATAGTAAAAGTATACACAATCTGTGCCAAGGACATTTATTTTATTAATTTTTAATCCACTGGTTCTTCTGACCTTTAGGGTCTTAAATTTAATGGCCTAAAACAGTAACTGTGGCCAGTAACTTAACAAAATTACAAAATTTTGCTGATTGTCCCAGGTAGAACTAAACTCACTGACAAGTGTTAAAGTTGCAGACTGGGCATGATAATAGATGAAACATTAGGTGATTTTAAGCATTGGCAGGTATTTTATTCCTTTGATGTCAGATTTTTTGGCTTTGTTTGGTGGTAGTTAGAATATGTTAACTTTATCAAAGAATTTTAAAATATTAGATATATATGTTGACTTTGGTCTTAATTTTACTGGAACATGTTTTGGGATGTTCTGAAATGGCCTTACATATTTTTAAAGAAATAATTAATTATGAGTTTCATTTTTTGTTTCAGTATACCACAATAGATGAAAAACATCCTCGAGAACTTATTGAAGGAATTTGGGTAACTGGCAGAGCTTTCATCAAGAAGCTCATTGATGTATTCAACAGTGAAGTTGAGTACAGTTTTGAGGAAAAGAATGGAGACAAGATAACAATAAGTGAGCCTATTTTTTATCAAATATACATGTGGCAAATATTTAAGAAAAGATGGGGTGTATATATTTATTGACAAATATTTTGTTGATTGGACTACTGTAAGCAATGTAACAAATTTATATGACAAATTAGCTGTTTTACAGAATGTTCCCTTTGAGGTGTAAATTTAATTTAATTTGTTTGTTTAATGGTTTTCATTTTAATACTTTTGACTCGGAAAAGACAAAATGTTCTAGCTAACAGTTGTGCAAGTTTTTGCCAGTCATATGTGGAAATTTCATTGGTAATTTGATACTGAAATATCTTTAAGTCCTTTGACAGATCAATAAGATTACAAGTGTTTACATTGAAATCATCAAATGATGCATTTTGTCAACTTAAAGTCCAAAATAGTTCAAAATGAAAACACAATTTTAAGATTGATCATTTACATACACAAATATTTCTCTTATGACAGTCCACAAAAGTCTTATGTTCTACATGGTGGACAGCAATGAGATTGGAATGACAGTGGACGGGGAATATAAACGCTACCCAGGACTTGAGATGATCCTGAAGTACAATCCAACCATAGACCTGCCAACCAAAGAACAGCAGACGGCTCTCATGGTGTCAGTTATTAATGATGATTATATTGCTGCAGACCTACTGGTATTATTTTTTTAACTTTGTATTTTTGTAAATCTCCATGTATTTATCTTTTATATAAATATAAATTCTATTTCGTTTCTATACAAATGAGGTCATACGAGATTCCCGTTTTATGCGAGAGCACATGCGCACTTGCGCATATCTTCACTTCCGGTTTCTTGTCGAGCGAGCACAGCACGTGAGGCCAGAGAGCGGCACAAAATTCAATGAATACTATGGCTGATAAGGTCGGAAATAGACCAAAAGTTACAAAATGCCGCAGGGCCACAAAAATCTTCCGACGGGAAGTCAAAAGAAGTGGTGACGCATCACATTTTCTAACACGGAATCAAACATTGACGCAGAATAACGTTAATGAGAGAAATGAAAATGGCGCGTCAACGAGTACCGATAATGCCACGACTGTGGTGGGAAAATCAGTGCAGCATTAGAATAAATAACTGGCTCACTGAAGAATATGAAACTTAATATTTAGAAGCAAATGGAGGATTTTAAAAAACAAAATCAGGTATGAATATCCTTCTCATGTTTATTAAGAAGAGTAAATGTCTGACGACACGTCTGTGTTTACTAGTAGTGAAGAGTAAATCTCTGACGACACGTCTGTGTTTACTAGTAGTGAAGAGCAAATCTCTGACGACACGTTAGTGTTTACAAGTAGTGAAGACCAAATCTCTGACGACACGTCTGTGTTTACTAGTAGGTATGTTACAATCTCCGATATAAGCGGCGGCCATTTTCTCAGACCGCACATGCGTAGTGCTTGCGCTATGTGCGGAGGGGTTGCCCGCAATATCGGACTGCTGATTGGTCCTCATTGGGAATACCCCGGTGATTCCTAGCTAATGACGTAGAGGAAAATCCCCTCTATTGCCTCGAATTCGATTTTTGCATTTCAGTGATATATTTCTCGTGTGCGGTAAGTTTGAAAAAGTTGCCGCACTTTGACGTCTCCAAAAACAGTGACCCAGCATATGGACACTAATCTTAGGTATATGGACATTGAGTATTAAGTTTTATCTAAAAACTGACGTAGTTTCATTACAATTGGAGCATTAGAACTGGTATTTATTTTGTCCGGAACGTGCCATGGGTACCTACCGAAAATCAAGATGGCGGATGTATTGAATGACGATAGCTAGCTAGGGTGAATAATGATAACAGTAACAGCAAACAGTGCCTGATAGTAATTACAAAAAAGGTAGATAATAAAAAAATAACAACAAATAATTTAAATTGTTAAAGTTATTATTTCTTAAACTGAGAACATTCCTATTGAGCAGTACAAAATTAAAAAGCAGTTCTATTCTTTAGAGCAAAAACACCACAAATGTGTACAGAAATATAACTTTTGTGATAATAATTTTTTTTATCTGAAAGAATAAATATATACATACATATATATATCTCACACCTCTCATTGACAAACTATCTCTAAATATATATAAAAGATCATGCCCCCCAAAAAGAAGCGAAGTCTCTCTGAAGAGCCAAGGCCTCCAGGCCCTGGAAGAATGCTGCTGCAGGATAAATTTTCAACACTTCCTACAGCTGATGATCTGAGAAATGGACACGTCCTTTACCTATATGTTATCTCCAACAAAAGCCGGGCAGAGACTGAGAGGAAGCTCAAGGAACATTTTGTAGGTCATTCCTTTACTCATACCTTAAATGCTGATATAAAAAGGATTGTTTCAAAGACATTGGATAAATTCAAAAAATTAACTGAGCCAAAGGAGTTTGAAACCTTTCACAGTATATGCCATGAACATTTCCAACTTTTAACTGATCCTATGGACTATCCAAGCACAAGTTCTGGCCATGCAATGTCATCTGTAGCTAGAAACGACCCAGATGATAACAGTGTGCCCTGCACTGTAGATAACTTGCTTATTACCAGACAAAGTTCTCATGCACAGGACACACCTGAAAACCTTCCCAGTGAACCATCGTCATCATTTACAACCAGGAGTAGTACTGAACTACTAACCCCCAGAAAAGCTCGGATGCGGAAGCAGCTCAAATTTTTAACTTCCTCAAGTGCTGAAATGAGGAAAAAGTTGAAGGGTGACATCAAAGAACTAAAACAAAAAATGAAAACACCAAAGAGAGTGATAAACCAGGCTATTGGCAGAAAAATTGAGATAATAAAGAAGAAAGATGCCACCATCAGAGATTTGAAGAGAAAACTACACTCAGATGAAATGTATATTAAATTTGCAAAAACAAAGGCAGAGTTACACAAAACCCAAAACACCCATTATAATCTTTTGAAATATAGAGAAAAAAAGAAGCGTGTTCCCACTGTTCCGCTTTATAAGTACAAAAAACTACTTAGTAAACTAAAAGAAAAGGAAGAAACCATAAAAAATCTTGAGCATGAAAATCTACTGCTGCAAGAAACGGTAGATGAGCTGCAAGCAAATCCCACTATCAGTAATAAGCAAGACCTAAAGACTTATTCATCATCAGCCGGCCGTAAAGTATTTGTCTGCATTGTAAATAAAGTCCCCACTGCAAGTATTCCTGTCATCATGGAGGAGTTAGGGACACAACCAGGACAAAAGCCAGAGCCTGCACCCAAAAGAAGTGCTGTGGAATTAATGGCCCGTGAACTTGGTGCAATTGCTGAACTCCAGGCTTCTGAAATGGTTCTGAGAGAAGAAAATGTCACCCTGGGTTTTGACGCTACAACTCAGGAAGGAACCCATGTAAACAGCATTCACTTTACCACTAAGAAAGAATGTTTTTCTGCAGCAATTGATGTACTGGCTGGTGGGACAGCAGACGACTATGCCAGCCACATTTGCCAGACAGTTGACAGCATGGCAGAAACTTATGTTTATTTCAATGATGGGAGCGATTACCAAGAGACAAGGCAAAGTCTCATTGATAACATTACCAACTCAATGAGTGACAGGTGTGCTGCCAATCATGCAGCTCTTCGTATAGTGGGTAGTGTGTGGAACAAGTCTCTGAATGAGTTAAACTGCCATTTACATCCTTTGGATTCCATAGCCACATCCTGCAGGACTGCACTGAAAGATGTTGAACAGGCTGAAGGCATTAAAGGCGTGCTTTTTGGAAAAGACTGTATGTCTGCAAATTGTATCTTGCAATTTAACAAGCTGCGATATAAGGATGGGAAGGGTGACCCACGGGCATTTCTGTCCTTTCTGGATGAAAAAAATCTTCCCAGAGGTATTCTTCCAAGGTACAGGGGCAACAGATTGCACATTCTCTTTCATATTGCTGGAGTATTGACTGAACACCATGACACCTTTTCTGAACACCTCGAAAAAGGTATGTACTTGACCAAAACACCAGGCCTGTGGCAAACTTAAGATGTTCTTGCAAATTTGTAGCAAATTATAAACATCAACTTTTTTATTTTTTTATTTTTTTGTTTATTTATTTATTGCTTGCTTGCTTGATATTTATTTATTTATTTATTTATTTATTTATTTTATTTTATATTATTTTATTTTATTTTCATTTATTTATTTATTTATTTATTTATTTATTTATTTATTTATTATTAATTTTTTATTTTTTATTTTTTTGCAGACTCATTGCCACAATCTTTTAGTTGCTTTTAGTTGCTTCAACTTTGCTGCAAACTTTATTTTGCTTAGGGACGTCCCTTGATGGTCTAAGAGAGAAGCTTCTCGAGGATTTTTCAAATGATATTACACGAATGGAGCTGCAAGTATTAGGCCTGATTGGAAAATATCTATCTGCCCCTTGGATGAAAAAGTTTTACACCTCATCTGATAATGAAATTAATCATGTGGATGGAATTAGTGTTGTCCAAGGGGTGTTAGGGTCCATAAAAGAAATGCAGAAAAACCCAGAAAGTATTTTAACATCAGATAAAGATTTCTTGGGTGGGGATGACACTGGGGACCATACCCTCATCAAGTTGAGGTCTGTGTCAGGGGATATGCACCTTTTCAGTCAAATGATGGGAAGTTGCCTCCAGGGTATCATCAGAGTTTTGGAACGGCAGTATAAGAAATATTTTACAATGGATATTACAGAAAAACTTAGAGAAGAAACCGAATCTGCCAGGTCTCACAACATGGATGCTGAAGAGTTGATGGGAATGTTTAGTTCAGCCAAGCAGAAGTCACCAAATGCTACAGTTTGTTTCTTGTCTTCCCGTATGCGTGCATGTAAAAACAATACGATCGCATATTTAGATAGTATGGCAGAAGAACACCGAGATTCTGTGATAAGGAAGGCAATTTCTTATGGAAGGATGCAAAGGAATAAAAGGAAAAAAACACAGAAGGAACTAAGGATTGAGATGATCCAAAGACAGAAAAGGAAACAGGAAGCCCAAGACCAAAAGGAGAGAAAGAGATTGGAAAATTTGCTCTCTAACTCGGGATTGGAAGCTGTTAAGTTGGAAAAACCAGAGTTAGATTACTCCAAGAAAGAGGAAATTACTGCTATACTTGAAGGAAAGGTTGTGGGCAGGAAAATTTGCCATGTGTGGTCTGAAGATTGTACTCTGCGGCCGTATTATGGACTGATTAGAAAACTGTACAAAAGTAAACACAAACAAAATAAGTACAAAATTTCATACTGGGACCAGTCTGAGGAACCTGATAATGCAACTGACTATGATGTTTCAAAGTATGAATTAGTCATTGACCTGTTGTTTGGTGAACTAGATTTAGCTAGCTATTAGAAAACGCATGTACAGTACTAACAAGGTAAGGGTCTTGAACTTTTATATCCCTTAGAATTATGTCTTTTTTTCCTTTCAGCAGCAGAGCCAAGATGATGCTGATCTGGCATTGCTCATGGAGATAGAATAGAGGCAAATATCTAATTTTGCTAACTGATACCTCTTTTTTAGCTGACATGTAGGAAAACATTCGTTCACAAAAAATATGTCACCAGTTTCCCAGATCGCTTATTGATCACTAATTACTTGATCGATATTGATTAGCTTTATGAAAACATACCAATTTCTGACTAATCTTTTCATTTTAGGTGTTTTCTAACTAGGTTTTAGTATAAGGGAGAAGATCCAAGTACTTTTTAATTGATTACCCGACTAAGGAATGTAGAGGGGGGGGGCGGGGGTTAATTGCTTATTAATTTATAAATTAATTGATTTTCTCCATCTATTTCAGATTTAGATGCAGTATTCTATCCAGGATGCTTCAGGCTGTTTCTCCTGAAAATTTCATTGAATTATCTTTATTTTTAGGGGAACTGTGGACGTTTTTGTGTAACACTTCAATTTTGATGATCACAGTTTTTCACAACTCATAATGTTAGACCAATAGGAAAAAATGCGTCAAATTGGAAAGATTATTTTTGCAATATCTTTGTCAATTTGTGGGCTACAGACTTGGTTTTGGTATCAAAATCCATCTTTTTTTATGGTCCATCTGACTGTCTTGATTTTAGGAGGTTTTGGGGGCTTTGAAATTTTTTGTAACATACCTATTACTAGTAGTAGAAAATCTCTGATGACACATCAGTATTTACAAGTAGTGAAGTGCAGAATTCAGATCATCTTGTTGATATGGCAGACGCTGCCCATGAAGATGATACATGTACGATAAATGATAATAATGAAAATAAATTAGAGGAAGAATTTTACCAGGAAAATGATGAAAAATTGACTCCTTCTAACTGTGAAGGTTTGAAACCAATAATAATAAATGAGGGAAAAATGGCCTAGCATCTGTCATGGTGCTGAATCATAAGATTGAAGGTTTCACAGAGTGAACATTTATTTAAAAGGGTGATTCCTCCTTGACACTTGAAATAAACAAACTCATTAGTAAATGAGATTCATATACTAAAGAATCTGGAAGAAGATTTTGAAGAATTATTTTATGATGCTATGAATGCAATTCGAGCATTTAGTTGCACAAACTTTAAACTTTGTTCAAGAAGGGAAGATGTTTTAAGACCTCACATAGATAAACTATACATATACATTTATGTGAAAATTCCATCCCAGGTACCAATAGGTTTGGTGGGGATGAAATAGTAAAAAGAATCAGTTACATGAAAATAGAATGAATTATCAAGTGTCTAAGACACTGGTCCATCATATTCTGGGACTCCCAGAGGAAGCAGAGTTATCATGTGAGCTAGGGGAAGATATTTCCTTAGAGCAATGGATGTGCAAAAGAAATGGCACTAAAAGAGGTTAATTAGGACCTTTCACAGGCAATAGGATACCAAAAAAAAAAAAAAAAAAAAATCATTGGAAGTAGAAGTGTTGAAGGAAAATTTAAAGTATGCCTTCAACATAACATTGCTAGTAGAATATTCCAGTGGGAATTGTTAACTTCTGATGCTTGGGTGTTACAGACTGTTATAAGTCTAAGATTGACGTTTATGGATGATTACATCCAAAACAGACAACACCATTGAAAGAAATAAGATTCAAAGAATCTGAAGAAAATTTTGTTGATACAGAAGTTTCAACATGTTTACATAAGTTGTCATTGTTGAAACATAATGAAGAGGACAAATTTGTCAATACAATATATATACTAGGCCTAAAAGATGGCATAAGACAGATAATAATGTTTAACCTTTGAATAGGTTTATGAAGTACCATAAGTTTGAAATGGATACTTTGAAGACAGTTTAAATTTATATGTCATAAAGAGTTCATGGCATGCATAGATTCAGAAATGCATATCATATGCTAAGAATTTACAGAGCATCAGAAATTTCTCAGATTTGAGTGGAGAAATAAATCATACATTCTGCCCTTAAATGTGGCTATTCAGATGTTCTGGAGCATTTAAAACTTATGAAAGCCATTATGTGCAACATTAAAAAGGAAAGGAATATTATGATATCATACGTAGATGACATTTATATACAAAATGAATGTCTTTGGGCAGTGAAAGAAACTGTCAAGTTTTTCAAAACTTGTGGGGTTTTGATTCATGAAGAAAAGTCTGTATGATAATTAATCCCAACTCAAGAAATTGTATTTTGGGATTTGAAAATAAATTTTGAAAACATGACTGTGCAACTTGCCAACAAAAAGAAAGAAGTTCATAAAGAAAAGATTGATGTTTTTATAACAAGAGATGACGCATCTATTAGAGACACAGCAAAAATATTAGAAAAATGTCAATGTCATGTTTGCATGAGTCTGATATGGACAGTTGCATTATAGGAACTAGAGAGAGGAAAAATTAAAGCATTAAAAGAAAATAAAGATGATTATGAAGCTGTAATGGATTTTACAGATAAAGGAAGTAGACCTAGAATGGTGGTCTAGAAATATTTTTATATGCAACATGTAAGATTAATCATGGCAATGCACAGATTGAACTTCAATCGAATGCTACTCCTTTAGCATGGCTAGATGAATGTAGAAATATGAGAATTGGTGGATTCTTTACTGAAGAATTTTATTCTGTCATGATAATTTCAATGCATTTGAATTGCTTGTTATAAAATGGCGTTACATGCCTTAATTCAAAATATCGAAGCAAAGATACGATAATTCTACTGCAGTTGCATATATTACACGTGAGGTTTTGAAATCCTCATGATCAATTTGTGATGAAATAGTATCACAAATATAGAAAAAAAAAAATCATTGTATTGAAAATGACATATGGCTTACTGCTAATTATTTGCCTGGAATAAAATGTAAAGGCATATAAGGAATCCAGAAATGTGAATATTACAACTGAATGGTCACTAAATATTATGTATTTAAAAAGTGACAGATATATTAGCTATGCCACATATAAATTTTATTAGATCTATCAAGATCAAATAGCAAATGAGGAATATTTGCTGCTTGGAAACCAGAACCTGGTACTGAATACGACAATGTTTTTGATATCTTAGGAGAATGTATTCCTCCTTTTCAGTCTGATGCTCAGGATAATCAAGAAGTTTTGGGAAAGATCAGGCAGATGCTTAAGTTGTGATACCTTTATGGTTGACGCAATTAATTTAAAGGAAATATTCACTAGAAGATATTCCTATTCTTTTTACTGCCAGCAACAACAGTATTAACATCTTTTCTCACCAGAAAGGGGTGACACACCCAATAGGAGACTGCATGAAATTTTTGGCATGCAAAGTATCAGGAAAACTGTTAAGTCAGATAGAATTACAGAGAAAGCTATTGAAATCATATTTAAAGCATGTGCAAAAAACCACTATTCAGTCTATATAAAAAAGTGGA